TTTTAAAGTAAAATATTTTTTAAATCAAAAATCAGAAATTTTAAGAAAGTCAATCGAGATAAATTAAAAGTCAAAACGAATTGAAACGCCACACTCTTTTACAGTTTCTGCTTCGACTATAGAACTTTTGATTAATAATTTCCTTCGAATTTTTATTTTTACTATTTCAATATTAAAATAAAAAATTAGAAATATTAATATACATAGCAATATATAGGTTAATATTTATAACACCTGATATACTAAAATCTGTTACGTGAGTTTTATCATATAAATGTCTTATATTTTTAAAATAATTTTCTACTCGAAATTCAGAAATCTTAAAAGAAAGAGGTTTTGAAATGCATTAAAACTCCTCACTCTTTTACAATTTTGTTCGTTTGAAAACATTTATAAAATAAATTCTTTTCAATATTTTGGATCTTAATATTTTAATATTTAAGCTCATACATAACACCTCAAATGTTAAAAATTGTTACATAAATTTTAGCATAAAAGCGTCTGAAATTGAAAAAATGTCTTCAAAAACAAAATATATTTCTTTAAATATTTATTTTAATGACACCGATATTTTTTATGCCGATTGTTTATTATTATTTAATTATTAGATTTACTATTTCACTATTAGATTTCTAATGAGCGTTAATTTCATTTTTAGATGCTCATCTTACGTGGGCAGAAATGGTGGTGCACAAACACTTAATTTAGCTCCTGAGTGTCTCCATTTAGGAATTATTATGCACGAATTGATGCATGTTTTAGGATTTGTACACGAGCACACTCGGTATGACAGAGACGAATATGTTAATGTTATCTGGGACAATATTAAAGATGGTTTGTAGGTTTTCTTTACTTATAATTGTTTTTGTAACAGAGTCAAATCTATTTCATTTGATTCGTTGCAGTAATTTTATTAAGAAAGATTTTCTTTCGGGCGTAATCATTCGTAACATATTAATATCATAAGGAATTATGAGAAAAACCACTATTCGGTTGTAAACAATATTCGGTATTTCGGTTGTAAAATTTGATCAATTGTGTTAATATTAAGTCTTATTCCCCTTTAATATTGTGTATATTTCGAGTATATGTCGATCTTAAATTAATTATCTTGTCGATTTCTTGATTGCAATTCAGATTTCAAAAAAAAAAAAAGAGTTCGAGTTTTTTAATCAAAAATAATATTTTACTCTTTTGCACTTGATGCTCCTTCTACAGCTATAACAACTCAAGCAACCAATAAGAGTTAATGTAACAAACTTCACTCTGTGCTATATTATATAACACAGAGACTATTAAATAAAGTTATTACTGAACCTTGATGTGCATAGATTTTAAGATTCAGAGAGGCAGATAAATTATAGTTTAGACAGGAGCCTTCGAGTGAAAGGAAAAATATCACACTGTGTTGCTTTTGGGTATGAATATTTTTTTCTTTTTCTAAATAAATTTAATTTTAAAATTGCAGGTCGCAAGGATAATTTTTTGAAACTTGATTGGCACGACATGAGTGTGTTAAATGAAAGATATGATTACGAATCAATTCTTCATTACCACAGATTTACATTTAGCAAGAATCCAGGTAAAAGTCCTACATTAGAGCCAAAGAAAAGAAGAGCTAGAATTGGACAGCGGAAATACCTCAGCGCTGGAGACATACGGAAGATTACAAAGCTCTACAAATGTTCAAAATTGTGAATAAATGTGACAAGTCTGTTTATTGTATTATTGTTGGAATTATTTGTAAACCGGAAAAGATTAAAAGTTGTGATAAAATCCATTTAATAACTATCTTATTTTTGGGGGAAATATAGAATTCTGTCTACAAAGATTTATTGAGAATAATAGCATATATCTTGGTTTTCATGGAAAAGCAAACAAGATATAAATAAAATAGTTTTACTACCAGTATTTTATCGTTTCCGACGTAAAAACAGCCTTGTGATGTGGTTGCATCCACTTACTGTTTATAAAACTTACCTCAATGCTTACACACTTATACAATACATTATTAGACGCCGGAATAGCCTGGTAGGTAGGGCGCTGGGCCCATGTCCGAGAGCTCGTGAGTTCGAACCCCGCCGGCTGAAGACTCCCCGTGTAGTAAATGGCGACTGACGCACGTTAAATCTGTCGACTCACGAAGGTTGTCCTCCATGTTCCCATAACAAATCTGGGGGTACTGGGTTAGAGATCGATCGTTCTCTGATCCAGGTCAAAAATTACGTTCTTTGGATGAATGAATGGATGTATGAATGGGTCCACCCTATAAACGGGTGTGACGTGTGTGTGGCTGAAGACGAATTATTGACCATAGATGGCGCCACTTAAAAACAAGAAACGCACCCTCTGCCTTAAATTTATTCGGTTTCACCAAGCAGGCTTGCTAGTGTGGTAAGTGGCATTAGAAACAACAACAACAATAATTGGAGGAAACAAAATAATGAAGAGCTGTGGTGAGCTCTACTACGCTCTTTACAAAATATTTTAAAAAGAGGTTGGCTATCTAATATTAAAGTTTTTTAAATTTTGCTTGATTTTACCAACATTTTACAAGCTTCAACAAGCAGAAAACTGTAACAAAGCAGCTTTTTCTATGAATCATGCACACATTGAGGCAAAGAAAATAATTCTAATCAAATTTACAAAACAAAGAATCACTCATAAAAACATACATTTTACTACCATTAGAAAGCGTAGAAAGTTGAAAGTCCTGAATCATTCTCATCTCATATGCGGTAGTTATCTTAGCATCAGCCCCGCGAGGAGCTCTAACCAATTCATCTGGATGGGAATGCATGATAAATCGCCGAAGCGCAAATGAATGGTGAAAGGTCCTGACTCGTTCGATCGTTGTTGTAGAACTGGGCATCTGAGGCCTAAATGGCCCTTATCCCATTCATCATGAAATATCCCAAAGGGACATACATAGGAAAGTTGTATTGGTGGTACGGAAAAGAATCTGAAATGAGATAAAATAATGAAAGGCATCATGGTAAGATGTAGCAGGCTTGAAGGGGAGGCTCCTCATCTACGTCTTTAGGACTGGGAGCAGGGAGATGAGTAATGAGATGACTTTCTCGTCTTTCAAAAGTTCCTGAAGTTCTTTGATGATCCTTAGGAACTTCACTGCTCTGCTGGGTTCATCTTATGGTCTACGTGTGAAGGTGCGATGATTTCGCCTCAGCCGAACACCACAGCCTTAAAACAGGCGGGGTGATCGCCTTGACAATTGATGCATTTGGCCGGAAGGGAGAGAGGCTTCACGCACTGGTAAGTAAAATGTGCTCCTGCACATTTCATGCGGTCTGGATAACTTGATCATGATTTCTGTGTATGTCCAAATTTTTATCACTTGTAGCATTGGATGGCGTAACGCCCTCCGTTAAATTTCTCGATTTGGACTGGACAGGACAGCAAATTCTTTGTGGAAATAAAGTCCCGATGCTCTGGGAAGTCATGGAGTATCACTAGAAAAAGGGGGAGGATCTTGTATCCGTTGTCACGTCTCTTNAGCAGATTCTTTGTGGAAATAAAGTCCCGATGTTCTGGCAAGTCATGGAGTATCACTAGAAAAAGGGGGAGGATCTTGTATCCGTTGTCACGTCTCTTTCTTAGTTGCTCTATCTTGATTGGTCGTCGACCATTGTCCTCTGTATCTTTCCGAAGATCTTCTGTTCGGATGTCTACAGTAAGGCCTCGCGCAAGAAATTTAAGTTTTCTCGGGAGGTAATAGTCCTTGGTCGGTGGAGAAGGCTCCGTCAATTCAGGTTTGGATGGAGTGATCTCAGGTGTTGGCTCAAGACGGGTAGAAATGGTCTCCTGGTTTCCGCTGGCATTTAGGCTTTTCTTTTTTCTCTTCCTCGGTCTTTCGGGGGAGGAATCCTTAGGAAGAGGCTCCTTTTCCACACTTATCTCAGTAGATGGCTCGATTTGGGTAGTTTTTAGTTGAGGCTCGCAGGAAGATACAGTTTCTGTGGGTTCCGTCATCTTTTCAGGCAGATTTGACTTTTCCGCTTCCATAGGCGTTGTCGATTCAGGTTCCACAGGGCACCGTAGATTCCTTGCTTGCTTTTAGTCGATGAGTTCCTGCTCGTAGGAAGTGAGTGTCTCTGGGTTGAAGGCATTATTTTCCTTCACTAGTTTAAGAAGAGCAACACGAGTAGCAATTCGCTGATCAATTCCTTCTATACTGTAATGGCTCAATGAGGGATCACGGAACTGTGGGGGTTGCCGCATGGGCCTTTCGGTCCGCCGCTTCCCACCACGGGCACATCTTTGCGTTGACATAGTCGCAGAGCCCCAGATGACGGCTAAACAGGTTTATTGATGATCAAGAACCTGGGCGAACAAATAAAGGCAAGGCTACTCACATGCAATGAATGCTCCAACTGAAGACTGACGCATGACATGAAGGCTAGAAGATGAAGTTGATGACGAGTCGAAAGTCTCCAAGATTTTGGCGAGTACAGCAGTGAAACACGAGTTCCGATCTTGATTCGAGCACCGACGAAGGATCGTTTTTGAAACAAATGAATCAAGAATAAAATGAAAGAAATAATTCTATGGTTTTAAAGTGCGGAAAACCTCATTTTAAATAGAAATAAAACAATATTTTTTGTAACAAAAAATGCATATACGCTTTTTTAACAGATATACTAATTTCACTGATGTTAATGCAATATTGAAATTTTCAGCAGAAATATCTTACTTAAAATAAAAGCAGTGTTATATTCATTAATTTTCGTCATTTAACAACTGACTTATGTGTTGATTGTGTTCAAAAGATAGGCTTGCTTAATTAAGAAATGTGGAAATAATTCATAATAAAAAATTTAAGTGAGTTAATGCTAATTTTACGCACTGTAATTTTGAGAATAGTTAATTGTTCTATTGAAATTAAGAAAACGGTTCTGAAGTTAAAATTTATACTGTTCAACATAATTTATAGAGACTCCTTTGAGATATTACAAAAGCACTTTACAGGAGCCGAGGTGATTCAGGAGCTAGAGCGTCCACCTCCCAATGAGGTTACCGGTTCGAATCCCAGCAATGGTTGATCGTTACGAATTCCGTATCTGGCTCATACCAACCACAGTGGTGACATAAAATATCTAAAGTGGTAGACGGATCATGTCTCTTTGCCGACAGGTTAACCGCAGGGGTGAGTTCGTGGTTTTCCTTTCTATGTACCGCATACGCTTGTTAATTTCATCTAAAAGTCCTCCCTGAAGGCAAAATTTCTTCCAATACTTGACTTTGGAGTTCCCTTGTCTTCTGCTTTACGTTTGCATTTTTGTTTGCTCATTATAAAGAACGGCTTATAAGCCCTTGTCAAGTTTAAAAATTAATAGCACAACTTAAAAAGGAACATTCCCAATATGAACGCAGGATTGACGAAGGATTCAAACCGACCACTACGACGCTACATTTGACGAGACCACTCAGTAAGTGAGGCTTCTCATTCATATGACTGGGAATGATATTTATTTAGTAATTAATTTATTAAACAATAGTTACGCACGCATTTATGATGCCTCATCCTTTTATGTTGTGAATTAACAAAACAGTTTGAATTTAATCATAAACCAAGTTAGCATACATTTTTAAGCAAACACTAGAAGGCATTTACTTTAAAGGATCAGTTGGCCAAGAACTTTTATCCGAGGTTATTATTTCGTGGGATCACTACTTTTAAGAGTTAATTTTTCACTTAAATTTAATTGCAAACAAAATTTATCATACTTTTATTTTTTTTATTTTCATACTTTTGTGGGGTATTTTTAAAGAATGCATATTCTTATATTTTTAAGATAAGTATCTTTTCTATTGTTTAATTTTATTTGGTCTAAGTCTTTATTTATTGTTGTAAAACTTTACGGTAATATTTAAAAGTAAATAGAATTTAAGTTTGAATTATTTTTAATGATTTAGAGAATGATTTGATTGACTTACAAGACGTCCCTGATTACTTAGAAGATGATATTTCGGAAAGTCTTCAGGTAAGAAAAAAAATATAAGCGTACTCATTTAATAATCAAAATTTCTTGCAACATAAATAAAATAACTTTGTTTAAACATTAAAACTCACTTAATAAAACAGCTGAATTGTTTCATTGAATAATATAATGGTATTTCTGTTTTATTAAAAACAAAAACTTTATCGTTAAAAATTTTTATTTTGTTTAAAAGCCAGTTTTTTAAGCAAGTTTTCTATACGCTAGGCAGGCTTTGTATAGTTTGTCAATTATGAAGTTTCTTTCCAACAGATTCTTTCTTTTTTTTTAATTAATCCAAAAGACAACTAACTCTATTTTAAAGATTAAATTCATTTAAACTGATCAATTCATTTAAAATAGTTACTTTTCTTAAAAAGACAAGAAGGTTCTCAATGCAATTTCTCTAATAGGCCCTTGCACACAAGTAGTTCTAGAAAAGCATCATTTTTAATAATTTCTCCGTCAAACTCGATGGTAAACGGAAACAAAAATGAATTGCCTCATTTGGAGTCGTTAAAAGGCAATCTGTTTATAAATTTAAGTTCAAACAAATAGATTGTTTCTATTAACTTATTTCATTTAAAACAGATTCTTATTAATTTAATAAATGCTCAACCATCGTTTTTTCATAACGTAATCTACCAGAACAAGTCACTAAACCACCAACTTGCAATTTCAGCATAAGAGAGGCCATTTTCTCTCAATATGACAATTCGTTAGACAATTCGTTAGTTCCAATTAGTTCTTCTTGTTGATGACATTGTTTAAAATTAGTTCAATTAAAAGAAAGGACTTTAAATATTCAAAAACAGCAATACTCTATTTAATTGTACTAGTATGCATCATTCAAATATAAATATATCAACAACAATAACTCTTTTACCATCCAAATAACCTAAACTATAGTTAAAGACATTTGATTGGTCCTAAGGACAGTGTTTGTGATTGGCTTTTATTACAAAACACATCCTTATTAAAAACGATTTGTGTTTGTTTGTTCTACTAAAATGAGCATAACTTTTCTTGTAATGCAGATATTTTAATTCTGTTTTGTTATTAAATTCAACATTAAATTACCTTCAATTTGATATATAATCCTTTGTATTTAAGTGAAAATTAATGTATTTTACAAGCACACAAAGTTGAAAAACATGAAACTTTCGAAAAATGTACACACTTTTGGCCACCACTGTATATATATATATATATATATATTACCAAGGCGACAATGTGATTGTCAACATTCACCGGTGGAAGTCATTCACAGTAGCACTTACAGTTCAGACAGCATCTTGAAGTGCAAAAGATTAAATAATCGGGCAATACCTCATTTAATATTTCATAAGGTAAAATTAAGTGTATTAAAATTTAGAAGACATCAAAGGTGCAATTAATATGCTCATTAAAATATTCATAACAAGCCAAGATCTCTTGGCAAGTTACATNTACTAAAAATAATAAACGTTAAATACTAATATTAAATAAAATCTTGTCTATTATAATATCAACAAAAGTTAACCTTATGGACTCAATATAATTAATTTAAAAATTTACATATTATAATTTTACACAATTTATTTAAATTGTTAAGAGCCTTAATTAAAACAAGTTTTATTTTTTTTAATAAATTTTTTTAAATTTATTTTTTTAACAATCATAAGGCATTTTAACTTATGACAACCACAATATAAAATTACAACTCAAAAACTGATAGATAAAATAACAATACATAATTTAGTTATATTGATAAACGTATACCGAAACGAATATAATCTTTCTACGATTTTCCGAATTGAAGCTTGTATTCAATTACATTTTCAAAGCATATGTTAACTAACTCGGATTGCAGTTTTTCTAAATAGTATCTAAATTTTGAAGTATTGTTAAAACTTTTAAGTACATATATGTCACGGTCAAATGTGATTAATTGGTTAATTATTAATAATAACCGGTAATTATTAATAATAATGAAAGAAATTCAGTAAATGTAATTCTTTCGCTTTTTTTGTATTTGCAACAGCATGATGAATTAAACTGATTTTTTATTTTAGTATTTAGGTTCCCGATTCCTTCTTTGTCATTTTTTGGCCTTTATATTTCGGTTTTTCAAAAAATACGATAGTTATTTTAAGAAATTTTGCAGCGACACAATGGAGAATGATATAGAAGTCATGATATCACATCTTAACAACCATTTAAACAGGCTGAAAACAAAAACAAAACGTCAAAATGAAAATGCATATAAACATGATACAAAATATTGCACTTTAAAACAATAATGCACAAGGAATGATTTTACTGTCCCCACATCAAATGATTATGAAGCCATCAATACATACTTTTTTATTATTTATACACAATAGTGCGAAAATTATTTTAGTGAACATTAAGCAAATTTGCACGATGATCGCTTTTCAATTAGTTTCCAGAATTCAATTGGCGAATGTTGAAAAACTCAATTAAATCAATTTGCTTGTATCGTGCTCATGAAAAGTGAATTATAAGTCAAAACTATTCCAATAATGGCGAATATATTTCTTGTAACGTATATCATTCCATATTCAGATAGTGACAATTTAGGTCTTTCCAGCAAATCTCTCCCCAAATTGGACGCTTCCACTCGGTCACATGTTGAATTTGAAGCGACAAGCAATTAGTTTCCAGGATTTGAATGGTTAAGAAAGTTAAAAAAATGCAATTAAATCAATTTACTTATTCTTTACTCATTAAAAGTAAGCTATAAGTCAAAACTGTCCCAATGATGGCGAATATTGTATTTCTTTTAAAGTATATAATTCCGTATCCAGACAGTGACAATTTAGGTCTTTCCAGCAAATCTCTCACCAAATTGAACGCTTCGGCTCGGTGCTCACTTAAATTTGAAGCAACAAGGAGATATGATCGCTTTTCAATTAGTTTCCAGAATTCGAATTGGAATTGTTTTAAGCTGTTTACGACTTCACTTCCATTCCAGATTATTATGATCAAATTAGCTAGTGAAATGGAAATGTAAGATGAGAAATCAAAAATCCAAATCATGCTCGTTGAACTAACTTCCTTGATCGTCATTAGTCCCACGACACTAAAACATGCCCAAAAGTTTGCAGAACAAACAAAAAACATCGGCAGTGAGAATGCGGCTTCAAAGTCGCATATATCATACGCGATTTCAGATTTTTTTATCAATAAGCTCATCTGCTTATATTTTCCGAATGTTTCAGGAATTTCCGATTTTAGTTTTTTTCTCAGTTCTTGTATTTTTGATAAAAAAGAACGGCAAAATTTGTAATATAGCAATGTTAATAGACAGGACCATGTAGGAAACGCAGAATTCAAGAAAAATATTTTTATGTATATAAAAACAAACCACCATTTTGAATTTAGTGTATGTCCATAAATGTATAAAGATACATCTTCGGGACTTAACCCACAGAAAGAATACAAGAAGCAGAAAACAAATGCTATCAAAATTGTATATTTAGACGTGTAACTATGATAAACCTTTTCGTGTTGCTTGATTAACGAAATAACAAGCTCTCTTCTCCTTGAAATATCTACAAATGCTAACGAGCTTGATAAATAAGCAAAAAAAATTATAGTTCCACCTTTCCATGTAGGGATTTTATAAATAATTTGAAAATAAATTATTACGACAAAATCAATTAAGTTGATGAAGATACAAATAATAATAAAATAAATTCCTAAAATTTTCCAACCTGTTTTCCTTAAGCAGTTTTTACTATCATTGAAGGAAAAGTATCCAGAAAGGAAAGAATCCCTTTTATAAAACATCATACTTCACACAATTCTTTTCTTACTCCTATTTAAGATTTACTTTAAGAAGCAAATGTTTAAAATAATTGATGGCCTCGAACTTTAATATATTTTCTGTATTAAAGCGCAGAAATTATTTATAACTTTTTCTTACGCACTTAGCTCAGTAAAACGATATAGAACTGAAAGAAAATAACTCTATTTTTATGAAATTTTCAAGATAAAAGAGTTTTTAAGTTGAATTTTTATTGAAGCAAATAAATGCATTGATTTTTGCTGTATTTTTCATTATCTTAATTATCAAATTTGAAAATATTTAGAAAAATTAAATTTCTCTTCTTTTTCATTTTTTTTTTTTGAAATTATAGATTTTTATTTAAATAAACATGCTCAATAAATACATGCTATTGTCATAAAAACTTTTCATAAAAAGCAATAATAATTCAGATTTTTGTTACATTAATACCCGTTTTTAAAACTGCCTGAAACGTGTCTGAAATACATTTATTGAAATTCAATAATTATATTTTCTAGCGATTTATAGGATAATGAGTTTAACAATTTATTATTACATTTACAAAGCATCTTTTAACAAATCAATTGTAATTTTTTGTATCAATTTTCGTAATTTAACTGATATTTAGCACGTAATTGAACCCTTTCTCGTAGGTAATCAATTGATCAAATTCTCTTCATAGAGCAACACTGTGTTCTTTTAACTCTAACCATTTTTTATAGATGTAGTATATTGATAAAATTAAAACTAACTCATTACTGCATTGAGATTCATATGAAACACCTATGTTTTCATAACTTTTCCACTTTTATGATATATAAATCTATTTCGAATATTATATTTCAAAAGTATACTAAAATTATTTGCATACTGAATTCATATTATTGACATTAAAATGTGGATTTTTTTTTCTGTTTTCAATATCACTAACTCTCACTTTATTTAATATCATGATCTAATCAATTTTCTAATTGCATTAAAAATAAATATTCCACTATTCTCTAGGTATAAACTTATAAATTTTGTCACATGTTACTCAGAGATACTGTTTTTCGTTAAATACTCAAATACTCGCACATTCTTTTCGTACATACATATTAAATGTATTTGTTTCCTTTCCTCACTTGTATTGCAGGTGAAAAAGAAAATAATGTTATTACTAGAGCTATACTTGAATTCCACTATATATCCTGTGTCCGGTTCATTTCAAGGACAAATGAGGAAGATTTTATCCACATTTCTAGAGAAGGAGGGTAACTTTTTCCACATATGAATACAATAACATTATCTTTCTAATGATTAAGTTTGATCACAAGAGTTCCCAATCTGTTTTTGCCAGTACCGCATCCTAGAGTCTCTGTATCTAACGTAGTTAGAAAGTAATTGCAAGCGAGTGAAGTCTGTTATTGGTTTAGGTCAAAATTTATGGAGAAGATACGGAACAAAAATTTCTTCAGTTACTAGACATGAAGGAACTCAAAGTATCTTCTTACCCAACGGAAGTTCAAAAATACTTTTTTGAAAATAAATCTTAATCTTTCAATGAAATTATTGTACTAAAAAACAATGTTTAACAACCATATATTTTGTAAAATCATTATCATATAAAAAAATTTTAAGTTATTAGGTATTTTCATCAAATTATTCATACTATTTTATGCCAAATAAACAGTGAATTTTTAATAAAACGTTAGTTTTCTTAACCCCTTGACTTATCATTAAACAAACTCTAAACTGTGCAATATTATTAATTTCTTGATATAGAAATGATCTTTGATTGCGCTGTAAACAACAACTCGCAACGGAATCTTGACAGAGATGCCAACCGCTCCGGACATGTCAAAATAATTTAAAAACTGTAAATAACTACGAACTAAAGTTTGCAAATATTTTACTATTTTTTATTGCTTTTTAAAAGATATAACATGACATAAGTACTATAAAGTGCTGAATTATATAAGCCTACGAATTATTTAGACATTGTGGTGAATAAAAATCAACTAAATTCAATTTATTAAACCAAGAATCACAAGTAATAAACTACCACTTTAAAATATTTATTTGCTGTCCGGAGCAAGTTGGCATTTCTGTGCTGAAGACGTCTGAGACACATCAATTATTGTTTTGACATAAGAAGCAAATGACGTCTCCCAGACGTCTTCGTATGTCAAGGGGTTAATATGAAGTTATTTATTCTAGAAATTTTACTAGAGAACGAAAAATAAAATAGGACTTTTATGTCTTATTCACATTTCATTGATAATTACGCAACCCGTGATGTAGTATGTTCTTTGGCTAATTAAAAAACGAAAACTGAAACTTACCTCCATACAGTTAATATGATTTTGACATGGAGTAAGAAAGTGAAATTCGAGAGAAACTTCGTCACTGTGATATACGACACCTTTACTTTCTTCTTTCGAATAATTTTGAAGCTGTCTTTCGTAACTTTTTAGTATGCTCTAGGCATGTATAGGGACTCTAATCAAACCCAATGGCCAGAACAGACTCGCGCGATCAAAATCTATTCTGATATCAACGTTGCTTTTTAAATAATTATTATTGCCCAAAAATGAGTAAAAGAAATTTTCGAATTTTAGAGAATCGAAATGATTAAATAAATAAGCAGATGAACAAGTAGAAATTTATTCAGAAATAATAACTGTGTGGTTAATTTAATTTAAATAGCAGCCCATGTTAGTTCAGAACACCTGCCATGTTAGAATAAAAACTATTTTAGACTTATATCCTTTATTTTCATTTGATTTAAAATATTTAATATGATTATTAAGAAACTTTCTTAGCTTAACTTGCATTACTTTGTAACTGACAATTTTTAATACTTAAATTATTCAATTTTGACCGACATATGTTCGATGTTCGAAATATTAAGTGTCTAATGCATCAAAAATTTTGAATGTCCAAATTGTCGAAAATGTTAAATGTTCTAAAAACAAAATTTTCAAAATTTTTATTCTTACTTAAATATTAAATACTTTGTAGCTAATGTGAAATACTATTACTTGTCAAGTAATATCTCACTGTTTCAGCTTATTGGGATTATTTATTTAATGAAATACCACTATTTTCAAGGGAGGCTAATGTGAAACATTATAATTTAGACTTTAATTCTGTAGCTGAGAATTAAATTGGCGAATTAAAAGTCATATGCTTGATGCTAATCTGATTGACTGAAAATTTATTTTAAGTAAGTTCAATTGATAAATTTTCAATTATCAAAATAGGTTTAGCATCACATTTGAAGTAATTTAAGCCTTTTTTTCTATAAAATTGCGATGTCGAATAAAACCGGACATTTTTCTATCGAACGTGACCAGGCTGCTATATTCCACAATACTCCGGGTCAAAATTTCTACCAAATTTGGTTTCGATGTTTCACCATTAAACGATGAACACATGAAGACCGTAAAATGACGGAGAAAACTTTTTTTAAACTTTATTGTTATTACTCTACCAGTTTATAAATACCGTAATGTCATACGTTAGTAATTTATATGCAGTATTACTACAGAAATCTTAAGGAAAATGTTGTATTAGAAAAAATTAATGTTACAAACATAAAACAAAGATATCTATGTAAGAGTGGAGGCTTACAGACCCTTAAACATTAAAATAGTGTCTGAAGAAAGAAATTGCTTTTAATACTAATGCGAATTTATTGCTACAATTAAGTTTTTTTAGAACCTTGGGTACCCTAATAATGTCCCACCACTTTGTATCCGAAATAACCTTGTAAAGCAATTAGTTAGTTTGATCTCATTATCAGTTATTTAAAGAAATTTAAATCTAAAATGACACTTAACTCTTTGACGCAGAATTTTTATTCAACATATTTTGTATACTTTTTTCATTATTTTGCATTAATTTAGGTAAAAATAAATAGAAAACAATACTATTTAACAATTTAATAAATTATATGTTTTAAATACAGCTTTAAGCATTGCTGTCTTTATCTGCGTTAAATGTAAAATATTTCTAACGCAGCTCACTTCCAAACAATAATTTTTCAAATTTGCATTTATTTAGATCTAAGAGAAACAATTATTCACCAATAAAATGTTTTTAATTTAAAAAATCAATTATTAGTAAATTTTTGAATGTGAATGAGAAAAAAAATTCAAACTACTGTTCTTGGATTTTATATTTTAGTACAAATGTAATTCCGACTATCTAACAGATTTTTTATCAACTATTAAACTGCTTTCTATATTTAAAAAGAAACAAAAATATATTTCTTCTGTGAATTAGAGAGTCTGAAAAAAATACATAAAAGGAAAACTGGTGCCCCATTTGCGACAAAGAGTTAAAATATGTATTAGTCTTTTCATTTGTAATATAGTATCTCCTAATAGTAGTTGAAAATAATGAATAAAAAAAGTCTTTTGTTGAAATTCAAAAACAAATTAAGATGTTTTTCCCTATAAAAACCTTGCTATTTAATTTGCCTTGTAGCAATATTTTTCTTGTGTTTGCTACATTTGCATATGAAAGTATAGCACAGTTTTGTCCATATGCCAAATTTATAGAGAAATTTCGAGTGATAATTTCTCGTCCTTCCTATCCCTCTCTCTCCTACCAACTTCAGTGCCTCAAAGAGAAGACAAATATGCTAAATAATTAGTGCTAACTCTTAATTATGTTATGGAAGACATAAAGATCTTGATATCTACCTGTCTAATATCTTGAAAGTAATTGAATTTTGAATACCTTACTTATTAAAAGTTTTGTTAAAAAATTGAAAATAACATTCCTAATTTCAGCAAAAATCCTTTTTTTTTAATAAAAAAAGTAAATAAATACACAAAAAATACAGAATATTCAATGTTTAATCCTTTAAAAGCTGTACATTTCTAAAGCGAAATTATATAAATACCTAATTCAAACATCAGAAAAGAGAAATGTTATTTTTTAAACATTTTTGGAGAATTCCATTTTCTAACAGTATCTTGGATTTGCAGATTATTTGTCATAAGGTAAAAATGGGAACAAATACAGCGCACTTATCAAACTTAGGAGCAAAGCTGAAAACAACGAAAATAACACCAATTTAAGAGAATTTGTAGGCGTATCAAAAAGTTTCTAAAAGAAATTTCGAAAAATCCGGCTATGATAGGGACATCTAAAATTTATTATCCTTTCACTTATGAAATAACCGACTTAAGATGTTACATTTAAAATATGGTACGTGCAAAATGATCGAGATCAAATAGATTGAATCCTGTTTATCCTATTATTGGTCTTATTTCTTTTTATGCACTATTTTACCTTTAAATAAATGCTTATAAATATTTCAGAAAAAAATAACTATATTTCGGTTTTGTTAACATAAATATAACCTAATCCTTAACATATCGAATTTTTTGTTATGTTCATCGATGTTTTACATTTTTCTTCGTTAAATTATTCGTATTTAATGTGTATTTAATCTATATTTTATTGTTTTAAGGCTTTTTTTCCCTAAAATACCATTGTACGTAATATGTATAATTTTATTTTCAAAAATAAATATGAAAAACGCTTTTAAATGACTTTTTAAGACATTTTTAAAAGAAAATACTTTTTAAATCGTAAACCAGAAATCGTAAAAAAGTTCATCGAAATGAATAAAAAAAAATGAATTGAAACACTTCACTCTTTAAAGGTTTCTGTTTCGACTATAGAACTTTTGATTAATAATTTCTTCCTAATTTTAACATTAATATTTCAAATTTTTTATTATTATTTAACACCTGATATACTAAAATTTGTTACTTGAATTTTATCATAAAAATGTCTTATATTCTTAAAATTGCTTTCTACTTGGAATTCAGAAATCGTAAACGGCAGACGTGTTGAAATACATTGAAACGCCACACTTTTTTAAAATTTTGTTCGTTTTAAAACGTTTATAAAAAAAAAATTCTTTACAGCATTTTGGATTTTAATATTTTAATATTTATGCTCAAACATAACGCCTCAAATGTTTAAAATTGTTGCATAAATTTTATCGAAAAAAAGTCTGAAATTCTATCGTAAAAATCTCTTCAAAAGCAAAATATATCTCTTTAAATGTAGGAGAGAGTCTGGTATAGCTCCGCCCACTTAAGGGGTATTGCTTATATTTCTGTATAATATTAAGTAATAATCAATATTTTTGTATGTTTCTATTGTTTTATCATCTAATTAAGTAATGCAAAAAGAATGAACCAAAAAAAGAATAGTTTAACTTAAAAAAATAGAAATTTAAAAAAACATGTTTTTCAGCTCTTTTCAAATTGTGTCGGGTAGCCCCGCCCAGTTACAAAAATTATGTTTTTTAACTGTTTTTTCAGGTGTAAATGAAAATGACCAATGTAATGACAATAGATAAACCTCATTTATCATTTTTATCACAAAATTCAACTGATTTTTCTTAATTTCATGACTACTGTATTCAACATATTTTCAAAACTATTGTTTACCATGTTACCAGCTGCATAAATACTTGAAACTTTGAAAATAATCTTTTTTTAATATAACAATTAATGTCCGATGGCCCATTGACTTGAAAAAATATTCTATACATATGAAATTGACAGTGGGCAGGGGTACCCAACACTCCCCTATATTTGCATGACTCCGATATTTTTATGCCAGTTACTATTTAATTACTAGAATTACTATTTAAATATTAAATTTCTCGTTAGTGCTAATTTTATTATTAGATGTTCATCTTACGGGGGCAGAAATGGTGGAGCACAAATACTTAATTTATCTCCTGAGTGTCTCTATTTAGGAATTATTATGCACGAATTGATGCAAGTTTTAGGATTTGTACACGAGCATACTCGGCATGACCGAGACGAATATGTTACTATTATCTGGGACAATATTAAAGATGTTTAGTAGGTTTTCTTTACTTATAATTGTTTCTGTAACTGAATCAAATCTATTGCATTTGATTCGTTGTAGTAATTTTTCTAAGGAAGTTTATCCTTCATGTGTAATAATTCGTAACATATTAATATCATAAAGAAAAATGAGGGAAACCGCTATGATTTCGGGTGTAAAATTTGATCAATTGTGTTAATATAAAGTCTTATTTCTCTTTAATATTGTGTATATTTCGAGTATAAGTCGATCTTAAATTAATTATCTTGTCGATTTCTTGATTGCACTTCAGATTTCAAAAAAAAAAGAGTTCGAGTTCCTTAATCAAAAATAATATTTCACACTTTTGCACTTGAAGCTCCTTCTACAGCTCATGGGTGAAAGCCCTTATATAGCAAGACGGAAAAGAGCAAAACCTGGTACGTAAAACATTTCATTCCTGCATTTTTTTCGAAAAAAATGAAATATCTGTAACTATCAAGATTTCTTTTATAATTCTGGCATACATATAAAATTGCTTCTTTTCCAAGATAAAGTATTTCAAAGGATTATAGGGGAAGCCACTCTTGCACAGTAACATCTTCTTTTTTCTTTTCTTTTTTTTTTACTTGATTTGAACTTTTATTTGAACTCTTGTTATTATTCAGAACTTGTTATTATTTTCCATACAGATTATAAATAAATACTGCATACTGACCTTTCAAATTAAAGTTAAGCATACTAAATGGCGCCACTAAGGCTTGTCGAAAATTTATGTTAAATCTTCACGTTCTTGAATCACGACTTTTGTATATACATAATCATCATTTATTAATGCTCATATTCAATTTTCTGTACATATTTATGGCAATTAATGTAAATATCTTTGTTCAAGTTGTAATTTTTTCAAATCAACGTTATATTTTTCTGTACATATTTTCATGGCAATTACTGTAAATATCTCAGTTCAAGTTTGTATTTTCTCTAATCATGGTAATATTATTGTAAAGCTACCACAACGACTGCTTATATTCAAAATGTTTTTACCTCATTGTTGTAATTTCACGATGAATGGGATAGGGGCCACTGCGCGGCCCAGGTGCCCAGTTGTTTTCAAATAAAGTAAGTAAGTCCAAGATAAAGTAGATATTGTTGAAAAATTTAAAAAAAGAATAAGTAAACTCCTCCCCAAAACTAGCGATAACTGNTTTTTAAATAAAGTAAAGTAAAGTAAAGTTATATTTGTCTTTTAAGTGTTCATGTCCTTTTTTTTTTTTAATTGGTGAAAATACTTTGAGTGAAAAGGATTTAATTGCATGAATACTGCCGGGCTGCCAACTATTATAATTTTTCGGAAATATTTTATAGAGAGATCAGAAACACAAGCAATCAGAAGAGAGCAATCAGAAACACAAGCTTTCATTTGTTCGGTCAGTTTTACGAACATTGAAGATGCCAACTGATCCGCTTTCTACTAAGTTTTAATTAATCGCTAGCGAATTAAGTAGTTAATAACCCTTGTAGAAAAAGGATAATTACGCCCATTCTTTAAAAGTGACACCACGACATAATGCAAAAAAGTTACACTTCATATGACATTTAGAATTTTTGATATAAACTATATATATTTTCGATATATTTTGATAGTAATACGTAAAATACGTAAAATAAAAAATACTTAACTACAAATAACTAAAATTTCATTAAACCACTAGATTTTTTTTTTTTAACAAAGGGGATCAAGTTGGCATCTGTTCAAGATTTTAACTCTTTGCCACGAGAGAACTGCAACAGAGTAGCTTTTTTATAATCTTTTGTTCACATGCTTAGTAAATAATTATAAATCTCATATTAAAAGATAAAACTTGCTACCACTTGAAGAAATTTTGCGACAAAACATGAAAAGTTGGCGGCCCTGAAACTGTAACTAGTAAGAAAAACGCATGCAAATTTTAAATCAGCTTTGCGAAAATATCAAGCATCCGCTTAAGAATCTCATATAACAGAAAACAAAACAAAAAGATATTCCCCAGTGTTATTTAATTTAGACACATCGATGTAGATACATTAATAGCACAGAAAATATATACTTAAATCTGTCCACTCGTTTGGATATTTTGGAAGATAACTAATTGCTTTTATCATTTTATTATTGTTATTATTTGTCATATTTTTACCGCTTAACTGGAGTTGTTCAAATCACTCATTCAAACGTGACCCCCCTAGAGCTAAGATCAAAGGTAACTTGTCTGGGACATAGAGTTGAAATACTGGGGGTCTCAACTCTATGGTCTGGGAAGTAAAGGCGACCTGTGCGTAATGCTGACCTCATTGCCACAATCATACCGTTGGTCTCAAAATTATAGAGAATTATCATCTATGACCCCCTCCTCCTGACCCACACCTAGCTGTTGCGAGAATCCTTTTCTTCTTTAACTGAAAAAAAACTTCTTTAAAATATGTAAAAGTTGGCAGGAATGATATTTCTGAGGCATAAATTGTGCTAAAAATATAATATTCGTAAAATAATTGAAAAAATTGACTAAAGATGCTTCTTTTTCTCTCTCTTTTGAACATACGTTACGTATTGCCCATTATAAAGTAGAATTCACTTTTTTTTCAGAAACGCATCTACATCTAATATCGTTTATATTTTGCTTCTATTTTTACTATCACGTGAGAATAAAAGGTAATTGTTTAAAATGGTTGATTGCGCAGTAATACTACGTAAGAGAAACAACTCGTCTTTCACATAATATAGACAATGAAATCGTTTTTTGAAAAGGAAAGAAATCTAAGCATTTGTTTTGAAATATTCTTTTTGAAACANTCATATATATAATCAATGTTAATTCAAAGTATAACTAAATAGTTTTATTTTGAACAAAGTAATGGTGAGTTAAATAAATCAAACTATTATAACTCCGCCCACAAATAAACTGCTAAGGAATAACTTTGATTACCAGTTTTATCTTTTTGCCCCGATTGATACGGTTTTATGCTGGCACGTATTTGTGACATCATCATCATCGAAATTTATTTGGGCGCCTGGGGCCGTTAGCGGCCTTTTTCCCATTCGTCTTGTATTGTGGTCTTTAAGGTGGTTCTTTCTGGTAATTGGAATGCAATTGGAATAAAAGGAAATTAAATATTTTGTTTTTTAGTTAAAATTACGTCACTACAAAAATGTGCTGCCATCGGTCTGAGGTTTATGTCTTCTCTTAAGTTTTCAAAAGTAAAAATTTCGTTGAATCCTGCTGCGTCACAGTTTATGGTCTTTTCGAAAAATCTGAAATTTAACTTTGCAATATGATGATCTAAAAAATCTATGTTGAGGTCGCGATGTATGTTTTTATTGCGGATATTCTTGCTTTTGTTATTTTCCTGAGGATTTCATTCTGGCATATTTTGAGTTTTTTAAGGAGTGATGTGGAGATGTTGCACCAAGCTGGAGATGCATAAGTTAGGATGGGATGGATCATCGAGATGAAGAGTAAACGTTTAAGTCTGAGTTCCATTTTGGGGTTCTGAAGAAGGATTTGTAATCTGTGATAGGCTGCTTGTGCTTTGTTGATAACTGTTTTAACGTGATCTTTCCAATTAAGTTTGCTGTTTATGACCAGACCAAGATATTTTGCGCTTTTGACTATGGATATAGCTTCGCTGAAGAGAACAACTTGATTTTTTGGGAGGATAGTTTTTCTTTTATGTTGGATGATTAGTAGTTTCGATTTTTGGCTGTTGACTTTAAACTTCCAGTCTAGACACCAGGTTTCTATTTCCGTAAGTTTTTCTTGGAGTTTCTGTAGGGCAATGTTGGGATTTCTGGACTTGGTGTCATTAAAATTATACAGGCCTACTTACATAATAGAACCTTTCAGGTTAATTTTAAAAACATGAAATCAACAAACAGAAAAATAGCAGCAGGAGTGCCTCAAGGAAGCATCCTTGGGCCCATACTATTCATATTATTTACCTACGACTTTCCCATCGACAGACAAGACTTTAATAGCATCACAGCACTTTTCGCAGATGATACAGGAATTGTCGTGAAGTCCAAAAATCCCAACGTATTAGTGACAGTCGGCGCGAAAGGGTTAATGTGCATAAGTTTTAAGATTCAGAGAGGTAGATAATTTAAAGTTTAGACAGGAGCCTTCAAGTGCAAAGAGTAATATAAAAAGTATTGCACTGCATTGCTTTCGGGTAGGAATACTTTTCCTTTTCTAAATAAATTTAATTTTAAAATTTCAGGTCACAAGGATAATTTTTTGAAACTTGACTGGTACGACATGAGTGTGTTAAATGAAAGATATGATTACGAATCAATTCTTCATTACCACAGATTCACATTTAGCAAGAATCCAGGTAAAAGTCCTACTTTAGAGCCAAAGAAAAGAAGAGCTAGAATTGGACAGCGGAAATACCTCAGCGCTGGAGACATAAGAAAGATTAAAAAGCTCTATAAATGCGCGAAATTATGAATAAATATGACAAGTCTGCTTATTGTATTATTGTTGAAATTATTTGTGAGCCGGAAATGATTAAAAGCTGTTATTAAATCCAAATAATAATCATTTTACTTTTGGGTGAAATATAGAATTCTATCAACAAAGATTTAATGAGAATAATAGCATATATTTTGGTTTTCATGAAAGTACAAACAAGACATAAATGAAGTGGTTTTTGCTAACAGTTTTTTTCTTTTTTTCGTTTCCGGCGTATTAGCAGCCCTGATGTGGGTGCATCCACTTACTGTTTATAAAACCTACCTCAACGCTTACACATTTATACAATAATTGGAGGAAACTACTACGCTCTAAGCAAAATATTTCAAAGAGAGGTTGACAAACCAAAATTAAAGCTTATTAAATTTTGATTGATTTTAACAGCATTTTACAGGCTTCAACTAGCAGAAAACAAACAGAGGGTTACTCATAATTTTCGAAGATATAGTAAAAAAACGAAGACGAATATGGCAAAAAGGAACATATGAAATTATTCCAAAAGCATTCAAGTTTTAATTTATGCAGTTGCCGGTAGGTGGCAGTAACATGTACCACTGAAGCCAGTTGTAGTAAAGAAAAATGGCGTTTACAGGCGGATGGAATTATGAATAACCCTGTATATATAAACCTTTGAATCATTCACACGTTGTGACAAGGAAAATAATTCAAATCAAATTAACAAAACGAAGAATCACACATAAAAACATACACTTTACTACCATTACAAAACGTAGAAAGTTGACAACCCTGAATCAAGTCATTACTAAACGTTAAGATGAAAAAATTTTAACATGTAGAGCGTTAGATATTTTACAGACGGCAGGGGTGACAAAGAGGCCCCTCTGGATGGCAAAGGAAAGGTATACAATATTTTAAAAAAAAAACAAATACTGGTACATACTGTTCGTTTCTGATAACTAGGCACGCAGAGGATCATAAAAAAATATTTAAGTTTCAGGAAATTACTTATCAAAGCAAATCAAAATTTCTGCCATTGCAGCCTATTAAGTATAAATTATTTTCAACAAGAAGACTTTGCTGTAAATTTAGTTACCACTATTATCATTAAATGAGCTTTTTAAACCTTCACCAGCACTAGAGCAAGACTTCGGGCATTCGTTTTGTTAAAAATAACACAATTTTTGCACAAAAGAATTGCTTTAATTTTCTTTAAATTTTTTATTTATATTAAATGATTTCACCTGAGTAAAATAAATATTTTTCTCTTGAAAGCAGACAATCGAAATCTGATGGGGGGGGGGAAATCATAATGAATGGCAATAGAAAACTGCCGGTAATATCTTTTTTATCCATAACACTTAACACATTGCAAGCTGGTCACGCAAAAATACTTTTTTGAAATTTCTGCCATCCTTACAAAAGTTAAAAAAGTGGTTGCAAAACTACTTCGTTTCAGCTCTATTTTTCAATGAAATTATCCATTTGTGATTACCACAAACATAAATGATTAAATATATATGTAATCAGTACTACAATCGGTCATCATAATTTTTTTTTCAATTAAGTTGTAGCTGTAGTGACAAGTTTGCTTCAGTTTTTATGAAATCTTGCCTACCATTTTTTAAAAATTTTAATACATTCTAATTTTCAACAGCTGTAATAATTGTTTTGGAAAAGTTGCCGCTCAGTTGGGATAGTTTCAGACAAATTGAATAGATGTCCCACTTCCATTCTTATCCAAGGATGCTCCTGAGGAGAGGAAATGAACAAAGTTTATTTTTGCTACGGAAGTATACCACCCCTTGATATATATATATGCCTAATTGCTCTCTACAAACTAGATTCCTTATTAGCATTTTATTTTATAACCGCAATTGAGCAACCTACCCAATCTTAGGTTTACAATTACTAATGTTCAACTCCGTAGTATTGTAACTTTGAACCCAATCCAGAAAACAAAAAAACTTTCGGATCAAGTATTGGGAGAAATTTGTTTTCGTGAAGAACTTTTTGATGGAAATAACCCACATTCGCTTAACAAAGAGAGGGAAACCACAAAACACTCTAATGGTTAGCCTGGTGGTAAGGGGACTCTTACCCACGATCCTTTTACCACGGAAGATATTTTACGTCAGCACTGCGGTTAGTGCGAACCGGGTGCGGAATTTGTATCAACCAGCCGTAGCTAGGGTTCGAACCTAGCTCACCTCATTGGAAGGTGAACTCTCTATCCCCTGAGCCACCATGGCTCACACCTCATTATTAGTAATATATTAACTCAAATATTATTACTATTTGATATTAAATTCATGATCTGATCAGATATAACTGAAGATCTTAATTCTTCATCTGCTTATATAGCAGCAAGTCTAAGTCGCCCGCGGGCTCAATCCAGATGAAAGAGTGGAGTGTCCGGTTCGCGGACAGCGAGTCTGAGCCACCACATATCAAGTCAATCAAAGAAATGTTGCCCACATGCAATGTGTTAAATAACACATTAAGGGTCAAATTGTTTTATTTTTTAATTTTTTAATAAATTAGAATTTAAGAATATTTTTTCTATATAAACAAATGTATAAAATATCAAATAAGCAAACGGTCTTGTTATTACGCGTGAAAGGTCTATAAAAATTTATTTCTTCAAAAAGAAACCTTTGCCTTAGTTCACTACCAATAGAAATTTTTTTCCCCCTAAAATCTGAAACATTGAAGTATATGTAAATTTAATAAAACTTTGTACGGATACACAACATCCATAGCATTAACTTCTTTTGGTCGATTGAACATAAAGCCATTTTAGCCGGAAAGTTTGGCTCAAATATACTATAAAGTGATAGTAAAATTTCTGTTCTTTACGATTTGATTTAAGAAGACCGATTTGATTTAAAGATTTAAAAGATTTCATTCGTATTGGCTGTTCTCTACCACTGGAAAATCACCTTTTTAAATAGCGAAAAAGTTGAAAAGTATGTTACAGTTTGTGTCAATATAACATATCAAGTGGTAGCAAGATGCATATTATAATCACACAATTTATTCAGAAAATATGATGTTTTCTCATGACAATTATATATTGTTTGTTAAAATAAACTTATTGCAAAATTCAAAAACTAAAATGGCTACTAAAAAAATTTAATTTTTATCTTTATATATTACGTTTCAACGATAGGAGCTATCATATAACCACCTGCATTGGATTGGCAAAGAAAATACTACTACTTTATTAGAATGTAAGCACCACTTTTTAAATTTTCTACTGTACAAATCCTGTATTTACTTTTAAAATTAGTTTTGGATGTTAACACATAAATGATGCAACCAGTAAATGAAAAAACTAACAAATAATTCAAATTGACACATTTGTTAATGAACTTTATTTCCTCTTTTTGCCTGTTAATGAGATTGAAAGTAGTACCTGTAAGTACCACTAATTATTAAAAAATGGAATTTTTGTTTTTAAATTTGCTTAAAAAATAATATATATTTTTGCTTTATTTTATCATTTTTAGTTCCTAAACTTGATGCTTCCATAAACTTTTAAATTGCTGATTTTATGATTTATCAAACACCATCTCACTTTTCTTTTTAGGAAAATTTCTAAAAATGCAACTACTGATCATTGGAAATATTTTAATATGCATAGGTTTGACTTTTGTAATAATCTACTTTCAATTTTATAAATAGCAACAAGTATGAGGCATTTGACTTGTAATAATGGATTTCTCATTATCAAACATTACTCAAGCATAGTTTTTAAGCTCGTTCACTTATTTACTTTCATAAATTTATTTGCATCCATCAAAAATTTCATAAAACGTAAAACAAGAATACTTTTTTATTATTAGAATCTACCGTATTCTTAGAATTTGATAGTTCAGACAGAATCATTTTTAGTAATTTCACAACATTTAATATGAATATTCAAAACTTTATTAAAAAAAAAAATAATGACATAAGACATTGAGTTAAGATGCTTATAACGATTTTCATAAAATAAAGTCAGTTATTTTCTTTCGTGTTAAAATTTGCCTACGTGACATTTCAATTGCTGTACCTGTAAAGATTAAATCAAATTTCAGAGATACTAAAGTAAACACCACTTCTCCAAAAGTATAAGAGTCTGATTTCTGGAAACCTATCAAATTGATAAGGACAAGAGAAAAGAAAACACATAAAAATGTTAATAATGAAAAATGAATTAATCTTTAGTCGGCAATCTTATTCTTGAGAACACTCCTGATGTGGTGTAATTCTTATCAGCAGTAGAAATAACAGTTTAAAAAAATTTTATCACCTATAGTTCAAACATTTGGTTTGTATGATACCAAAAAGCATAGAATCTTATTTTTATTTTCGTAGACCGGATTTAGAGGGGAAATAATAAAAATGAAATTTTTCTTGATCTGTGCAGGCATTCTACTTTGTTTTGGGTAATGTACTACTATTTCATGAAATTCATATTTATTTTGGTGTTTGTGAGACAAAAAGATTTTAGTTAAGAATCTAAAATTTTAAATGTCTCAAACCTGTGATATTTTTTTTAAAAATAAATGGCCTTTTTTTTAAGATTGGTGTGAATGGTGATTGTAAAGCAAACATTTAATAAGTACAAAAGCATTTGCAAGCATAGTCATACAGTGCAAACTATTTAAATGCTTTATAGTCTCGAGTATAGATCTGCATATAAATTTGTTTTTGTTTTTCTAAAATTCTTTGCCAAAGTGTAATAGTTGTCAGCCTTCATCATCATTATCATCGAGATTTATCTAGGCGCCTGCTGCCGTTAATGGCCCTTTTCCTATCTATCTTATTTTCCTATTTCCTATCTATCTTTAACCTTCTCGGCAAACTATTTAAATGCATTATTTTTATTATGAAGGTCTCGAGTATAGCTCGGCATATAAATTTGCTTTTGTTTTTCTAAAATTCTTTGCCAAAGTGTAGTAGTTGTCAGCCTTCATCATCATTATCATCGAGATTTATCTAGGAGCCTGCGGCCGTTAATGGCTCTTTTCTATCTTATTTTCCTATTTCCTACTATCTTTCCTATCTATCTTTAACCTTTTCGGGACGGGCGAGTTATCAGTGTAGTCGAACGGAGTCAGAGTCAGGATGTAAAAAAATAAAAAGCGTTAGTTTAAGTTTGGACATTGCTAATTTGACAGACTTATTTTTGCTTTCACTTTTAATCTAACACATCCAATCCTAGTGCGTTGAAAGTGTAACTATACAATTCTTAATTCGAACTAAGTAGTGATGAATTAAATAAAGCAAACTATTATTACCCCGCTCACAAATAAACTGCTATAAAAATAGTTTGGCTACCAATTTTATCTATTTTTACCCTGATAATCGACACCCTGAGAATGCATATATGACTCACCCGTCTCGAAGTGGTTAAGGTAGCTCTTTTTGGTAACTGAAATACAAATTGGAGTAAAAAGAAAATTAAATATTTTGCATTTCAGTTAAAGTTACGCCACTCGTTACGCCAATGAGCGTAACGTCAGTCAGTTAAAGTCAGTTAAAGTTACGCCAATGAGCTCCCATTGGCTCAACGTTTATGTCTTTTCTCAAGTTTTTAAAAGTAAAATTTCCTTAAACCCTGCAGTGTTACAATTTATGGTCTTTTAAAAAAATTTGCAATTTAGTTGTCAGTCTTGCATCTATCAGATTACTATCTGTGCAATATGTTTCTAGACCTTTGCGGTGATAAAGAAAAATTTCATGATCGATTTCTAAAAACTAGGAATGTATTTCATAACATGAATTTCGCTACCAGTTAAAATTGCAAATTAATTGCAACCAGTAAAAGTTTTGACATAAATTCTGAGAGTCCTGCATATTACTACAATTAATTGACAAAAAAATCGGTTATTAGGAAAATTCAGTTCATACTTACTTGTTTAGATAATCGATACTCTACTGCCTATTTGAGTCTATTTTAAACAGTGTTTTTAAAATCATGAAAAAATATTTTTGCTGCAATTGTGATTCAGTTATCCTCTCATTACCCCTAGAGAAAATCTTCCTCGAAAATAGGGTTCCCGCAGTCCTTGAAAAGTTTTAGTGATAGTAGTAAAGTTAGGTAATTTTCAAATTATACACTTAAACTTATTCATATTGTATATATTCTCTACCAACCTGTTTTATCCCCACTTTTTATACTGAAGTGATACAAAAAATAGATTCATGGAAAAAATGGTATGATGCATGTGTTCGAACGAAGTGTATATTTTCTACTGTTACTTCCATTTTATTTTTTATCAAATCTAGTCACGGATACCAAAATCATAAATAATTTAAGGTGGGTGAGGATTTTGTAATTCTCTTAGAAAAATGATGGCTTTGAAACAATAGTTCAACTACAAAATATGTTTTTGAAATAGGCAACTGTGACGTAAATATGAAGTTGGGATTTACTCAATGTGCTCCTGAGAAATTCAGGAACCAAAGTTCTTGGGGGGGGATGAGTTTAACCCCTTAACTTGTGGGCTCGAGTTAATTCGAGCGCGCTAAACGGGCCTATCTGTGCACAATCGAGATAATTCGAGCGGCGTTGTATTTTATGCTGCTATAATTATTCACACTCGATTATAATCGAGAATTGAGAATAACAATGTGAAAGTGAAAATTGTTTGTGAAAATCGTTTTATTGATATTTATCATTTACATAGGATTGTGAGCTATAACACTTATTTATTCAAGAATAAAGATATACAGAGTTGCTCCAGACAGCAAATATATATTATAAAGTGGTAGTTTATCAATTTTGATTCCTGATTTAATAAATTCAATTTAGTAGACTTTTATCCACCACTATTTCTAAATAATTCATAGGCTTACATAATTCACCGCTTTATAATGCTTATGTCATGCTAAACCTTTTAAAAAGCAAGCGAAAATAGTCAAATATTTGCAAAATTTACTTTAAAGTTATTTACCGTTTTCTTAATTATTTTGGCGTGTCCGGAACATTTGGCATCTCTGAATATATCCTTTTTCTATGGAACAAAAGCGCAGTATTTCAAAATTGTCCACCAAAAGAAAAGACAATGTTCTAAAGTGTGTTTTTTTACATAAAAAAAAATTTATTTTTTTTGGCCTGTTTTCTTCAAAAAATCTGTGCATTAAGGGGTTAAACTTAACTTGCTGACAATTATTATTTCTTCTATTTTCAGAGATGCCACAGGAGACTAAAAATGTGAGAAGTGATAAAAATAATATTTAATTTATTTTTGTTTACCTAATTTATTAATTATTCAATCGTAACCATGACATACATTATAAATTATTAATATATAAAGTTATAATATTCTTTTACCTTCCAAACTGTAAATACTGTAAATATTCATTAGTGTTTATTTTCTCATTGTACTTTAATTTTACCTTTTTTCATGTACTTTTTTATTACTTGTAATTTTGCTATTACCTAATAATGGCAAAGCGCCATTTTTTCTTTCTTTTCTCACAAACTCCACTTTGCTCCCCAAACTTTACTTTTGTCATGTATGTTTCTTGGTCTAATTTCAGGATGAATGGGAAATGGGCCGTAAGGCTTCAGACGTCCAGTTCCATTACAACGAACGAACGAATCTTTGCAATCACCTTCTTCCGTGAACTGAATGAAATATGCTAGAAAAAAATGCTAGTTTTAATCACTTTTAATGCAATTTTGTTTTTGTTTTTAATCATCACTTTTAGCATTTTTAGTCGCCCGTGGCATCCCTGTATTTTTTGTTTCATCATTTTTATTATCATTCAGCTTTACATGCCTAAACTGTTTATCACTAATTACTCTTTTCGGTTCCAAAAAGCTGTCCTATGTATAGGTTCTAACTGAAAAAAAAAGTTCATAGTTGTCATGGATAATTAATTTTCCCTAAAAAAAAAAGTAATAAAATGTACTGATCTGTTTTTGCTATTTTCCGTATTGTTATGTAACCTTTGTAACCTTTTAGCTTTGGTATATGTAACCTTTTAGCTTTGATTTCTTCTAAAGGGAAGAAAGAAAGGAAACGTTTCCTTACAATTAGTATTTTTTTAAATTATTTTCTAGATAAGTAATCACCTTGTTTAATCAAAATATCATACCTGACAACTTAAACAAAGATGTCAACTGCTCGGGATATTAGAAAATATCTTAAAAAACGGTAGAGAATTATTAAATGAAATTTGCAGATTTTCTTTTAATTTTGCCAACTTTTACAAAAGCAGAACATGGCATAACTGTAACAAAGAGTAGTTGGGTACAAGCCTTTGAATTTTTTAAAAGTAGTGGTTAATAAAATCCTTATAAATCGAATTTATTTACCAAGAATTAATCATAGATTAAAACACCACTGCTAAAGAATATTTTTCCGCATTCCGTGAGAGCTATGCAATCATTTTGAACTTCCTTTTTAAGCGCACAGATCATAATACCTAAACACAAAACTAAACACACTGCGCTCTCCAATGGGTCATATGTCAATGATTTTATTTTATAATCACCTTGAATTACTACATAATTAAGCCGACCGGCCTGTGTATGAAGTCAGGTTACTGGCCTTGCATCTGTAACATTCTGCATTCAAATCCCTGGCAAGGCATAGATGTTCTTTCATTCTCTGTCCTTACTGTGGGCCCACCTAATATGGTACCCCTGAAAGAGTGGCCAGCAAATCTGCCCTTCAGATGCATATATGACGAAAGGTCATTCTCCAGGTGGGCATTGGAGAAAAAAAGCATACATAGTCAAAAAATATGTGCATTAATACGTTTCGTACAAATGATTTTCCTTTTTTATTAATTAAAATGTGCAGGAACAGAGAGTCTACCGGTCAAGATTATTTTCGTTCCATATTCAATGATTTTCAAGGATTTTTTAGCTAACTAACTTTTAAGTTCCATTTTCATCAACGAATCTGATATTGTGTGCACTGGCATAAATTTTCAAAACGAAGTTGTAATTGACAGATTTTTTAAAAAAGACTTTTGTTTAAGACGGTAAACGTTTTTAGGATGGCTATAGCCGTTGCGTGCCTGCACACCATCAAAACAGGACGGCTATGACTGTCATTTTGAGGCAGGATGTTAATAACAGTATTTAATTTCTCATTTAGGTTAACCAAAGCTGAAACCTGTAATTGTGTTAGCTACCTAATTTCCGAGAATGGACTTTCAAGAGAAAACAGAATTACTTCAACTGAATATGATATCGAGAATACCAAATGTGATGGGGATGGTATCATGAAGTGTAAAGATTTCTGCGTTGAAATGGTAACGTAACTCTTATCATCCTTCTGCGTACTCTACAAAAATTAGTGATATTCTTGTTTGCAACGAAATATGTTAAATTAACAGGAAATCTCACTGAGGACTAATTATTTTAACTACAAAATGACGGAAAATTAAGTTCCTTTTTTTCCTGTTTTAACTACAAAAATACGTGTTTTACTTAACTTAATAACCTAAAGCCGCCAGGAAGGGCAACAAATAATAATAAATAAAGGAACGAAATTACTTTATCATTATTTATTGAAGAGTTCAGTGGAAAAACCAGGTAAGTGACATTTTCAGAGAGGCTTTAATCAGGATACAAAAAAACTGATGTCTGAACTATTTTATTACCTGTTTATTAGAAGGCATGGATTATAATTCTTTGCCCTATTTTTTTACCACTGTTTAATTTGAAATAAAGATCATGAAAGCATACTCAAAACTAATGTAGATTACTTGTGTTAAGATTAATATGACAGCAAAAACAATTCTGTAAACATACCCATATGGATGGAATCCTTTTATATTAGTTTTCCTAATTCATAAATATCTCTAAAAATGTCACTTGCCTGGTTCTTCCACTAAGCTCTTCAAATGAATTCTGCCTAAATTTAAAATCGATTTTTTTTCCCAGCTTTTCAAGGTCAAAAGAAAATTCTTTGCTTTCCCTACAACTAGCATTCCTCCATTAAGATTCCGTGGAATTTCTTCCTAACAATTAGAATTCTATAAAGCATGGGTTCCTTAAGAGAAATCAAAAAAACTTACTGAATGTGTGGTTTAAGAACAAGAAATTTGTTTGTTGTTTGTTTCCTTATTTTGTTTTTTTTAAACAATCTGAATGCTAAGAGAAATTGTCGAATACTACCAAAGCTGTACTTTATTTCTTTTATTTTTTAATTTATTTTTTTATTAATTTAGTTCTTTATTAATTTATTTATTCGTTCCAGCGCAATTTACCCACAATCTCGTCTATATCAAACTATTTTAGCTGCACTAAGCATTGAGAACCATACAATAATTCAAGGCTTCTCATTCAAAGTTTAAAAATGATTAATTTTTATGATGTTTAAAATCATAAATTTTTCATTTTTCCTGAAAATACAATACCAATGCAAGGTCTGTTAGTACCCTGGAAAACTGAAGAAAAAAACTGGGAATAAATAGGTTTCATTTCTACACTGATTTTTCAGAAAAATTAAAATCTCCGTGAGTATAACTGCTTATTATTAAAAGTTATAGCATAAATGCAGAACTATTTCTTACCCGAGAAAAAATAATGTTAGAGAGTTTATTATAAAAGTAATTAACCCCTTCAGGACTGGAGGATGAAGAAAGAAGCGCTCCCTCAGGCTCGCAAAATCCGAGTTTATACATAATAAAGAGTACGTATACGTACTAATACAAGATAATATAATATGAGAGCACCATATTGAGTGCACGTCCGTGGGCCGCTAGAGTCGGAAACGTCCTTTTCATATATGATACTGAGTCCCGTGAAGACAGTGATTGGGATCCTGAATGGGTTAAAGAGCGACAGAAACTTTATAATTTCATGTCACTTATAGGTAACAGGGACCATGAAGCCCAATGTCCCCAACACGAAGGCACAACACCATTTCCTGTTTTAAAATGGTCACTGGTTGCCGATAATACAAATTCGTTAACAACACAAATCGAATTTGGTAATATTATGATCCTAATTGATAACATATCAGAAAGTTAATATTGCGAATATCAAGCATAATGATTAGTATTAAATTCGATATTATTGTGACTGTTAATTTTATATATGTGATAAAAATATGAACAAAAGTAAAAATAATATATATGAGTTAAATTAAAAAAATCACGATACATTAATTACAATAAAAATATCAATATCTTACAATCGTGATAAAAAAAATCCATGATTATAAGATACTGATATCTTTTCTACAATACATCGCGATATTACTGTTCGTACTTATCGGTTATAAGGAAAGATATTTGTGTTATCGTCAACTACTTATCGCTACCCTTATATATAATAACAATTTTACTCTTGCAGTACGCAGAACTGACAGACGGCGGCAAAACATGCGTCGTGATGCCGGGAGATCACCAAAAAGTTGGAGATTGGATGTGTCAAGCCCTCAACAGGAACGTATGTAATGCACGAGTTGGAATTTTCGTGCAGAGCTGTGGCAGTGATCCGGTCGATACAGGTTTCCGGTTTAAGGAAAGCATATGCTGCAAATCGGGAAAAAGCGCGCATTGTTAAAGAGTTCGTGGCTTTTTGCATTTAAACATACTATAGCTCAAGCATTTATGATGTAAGTCTGAAATGTTCAGATTAAAAAAAGGCATCATTTTGAATTTTTGTCTCTTTTCATTATCAATTTTTTTTAGAATATGTTTAGTTTATTGTGTTTGATTGTATCTAATTCTCTAAAAGCAATAAATAATTTCGTGAATTTTTAGAAAAATAAAATTCTTATTATATTTTATAGAAAAACATATAAATCTGAAGCACTACCTCAACCACCAGTTATAAATCAGTGGGGTCATATAGTTTAAAGTCCCACTATTTTGAGACCAAAGGCATGATAGTGTGGCAACGGGATACCTGCAAGTGACGTAATGTGGGTATCTCGTTTTTGATTGGTTGTTGAAACGTGGCATTGTTAGCAACTGTTCTTTTTATTCTATTTCGAGTAATCCAAGCTCATCAAGTATCAATTCTCTTAAGTGACACATTCTATATTCTTACACGAAGATTCTTTCTCTATATATTTCTTACTTATAGCACTACCTCAACTACCAGTTGTGAGTCAGTGGGGTCATATAGTTTAAACATCCACTATTTTGAGACCAAAGACATGATAGTATGGCAATGGGATACCTGCAATTGACGTAGTGTGGGTATTTCGCTCCTGATTGGTTGTTGACAAGTGGCATTTGCTTACGTTCGCAACTGTTCTTTGCATACTATTTCGAGTAAGCCAAGTTCGTCAAGTATCAATTCCCTTAAGTGACACATTCTATATTCTTAAACGAAGATTCTTTCACTATATATTTCTTACTCAATACAAAGACAGGCACGAAGTCATGTAGAACATAAACAAACTAATTATGCATCGAAGTTGCCAGGTACACAAATCAAAAATATATCACGATTACAATAAAATACATTAACAAATAATAAATCAAATGTAAGTAAAAGACTTAGTTAAGATGAAAAATTATATTTCAACAATGTCGATGTTCGATGCGGCGCTTTATTTAATCAACTTTACATTAATTAACATTCCAACTTATGTGGCGAAATTTAGCTCAATTTAAAAACATATTTTGCTTTGGAACGATTAGCTGACACTGACTTGATATGTCTCAAGTGTGTGTATCTGTTATCTTCTTCTTCTTAAAGTGCAAGTACCTAATTGGGTCAGTATTACGCACCAGAAGAACGTGTTTATAGAAATGCTCGTTATCTAAAATCATGTTATTAAAGCTCCCATGAATTACTGACAACTTGAAAAATTAATCAAGTAAAAACGATCAAGTTTTACTCATAAAATATTTACAACATCAAAACTATTAGATTTATCAAATCAATTCTGATTTTTTTATTGTCTAAAAAAGTACAGAAATAATGCCTGACTAGTGAATATGACAACGTCTTAAAGTTTTATTGTCTTATAATTGTCATAAATACAATTAATTCATTTATATTGCATTAACAGTAATTATCATCAGTAATATCACTTTTGCGAAACATGACAATATTTTTCTTAAGAAAATATATTTTTTAATGCAATAGGATTAGTTTTCATCAATTAAATATCATACTTGCAATTAATTAATATAAAATTAAAAACATTTATTATTGGTACAATATAATTTAAGTAAAAATTACAGGATTTATTTTAGGTCAAATTTATTGTAACATACAATATATAAATTCTGAAAAAATGAGTAACTAAAAAGAACAATATTTTATTTAGAGCATTCCTTTATATACCCTATTAATTTTGTTATAAACTTTAAATGAGTTTCGCATTTTAAATAACACAAGATTGAATTTAAAAAATAAAACATTTAATATCAAGTGTAACATTAAGTACATTATTCCTTAGCATTTTAAATTTTTTTCTTTATTTCAATTATAAAACAATATCACATATCCCTCTTTCTATATTAGATAAATTTTGCAGGGTTCTACAAAATGTCTGAAATAGAAGAAAAAAATCAATATCATGATAAAATATTATCAGTATATCAATATTAGAGCAAGGAAGATAAAATACAATTAATTTGGAATCAGCTAAGCCTTCAGATATCCCTCAGAAACTTATTTTAAGTGTGATAGATATTTTCATTATTGTTCTAAGATTATTCTATACACTGATGAAAGATGGGAGGTATAATATTTTTTGTCCTATTGAAAATGAAACTGTATTGAAAAATTAGTGAGGTAAACTTGCATTACTCGTTCCAGAAAAATAAAGTATCAATAGTTAAATGTATGTTGACTTTGAAATAAAGCAGACAAAATATTATATGAATCATAATACACCAAAACATAGAGAGGGTGAATGTAAAAACAGTTTGAAAAAAATAAAAGGAAAGGCGTTGTGAAATGTTGAGCAGTTGGGATTGTGGAATTTGTATTTTTTTAAAATATTCATTATACATTATATTACTACTTCTTTTTGAAACTTTTAAATAGTTACCGTAAAATGGGATGACTTTATGAGAAACAAGGCCACGTGTTTTCTAACTTATTATTGTTTCAAGATAGGTTTTTCAAAAATTGAAAGAATTCTTAAGGAGGAATAAAATAATTATAACACAAATAAAAAAATTCAGATAATGTCTTCAAATAATCGTACGAAGCTTTCACGATCAACGGAAAGAGAAATAGTTCCAAGTGCCCGCCATTAAAAAAAAATTTTCCCATAACTCCAATAGAATCATCACCAAAGAAAAATAAAAGCCGTAAGAAAGCCACAACCAAAAATAAAAAAGTTGATCAACAACAGCCAACAACTAGTAAAAACAACAAAGAATCTGATGCTGACAAACAACAAGCTGCCAATAAAAGTATAGATCATCCAGCTCTGAAGAAGACGAACCAACAATTAAAAAAATCACTAGCTGCAGCAAAAAACTTTCACCGACACGAAAACCCAGCACCAGCACTGCCAATCCGAGAGATGGAGCAACTATTCAGAAACCATCTACAAGCACTGCATCCCAAAGGAGTGTCTACGTGGGATTACGCTCAGAAGCACCGCACCTCACAACAAATCTAAAATCAATGACGTAGCTAAAGAAGAGATGGATGATACCGATGATTGTCAATACCAAAGAACAGGTAAGCAGAGAATTCCCCCTATTATTATCAAAGACAACAATTTAAAATGAATTCAACTGTCCTTGCATCAGAAAGGTCCTGGATTCGAATCCCGGACAAGGCACGGATGTTTCTTTCTCTCTCTTTGTGTTCTATGTCCTTTCTCCTTTGTGTGAGAAAGCGTGTGAATGCGACCCGCCCTATAAACGGGTTGTGGTTGTGTGAATTGTGTGGCAGAAGTCGAATTCCTGGCCATAGATGGCGCCACTGAAAAACAGGAACAATCGCACCCCCCACTGCCTTAACAGGCATACGACAAAAAAAAATGTCGAAAACGCAGATGGAGAGATTGTTTGAATGAAATTCTACATTGATGAAATTAACCAGTTTTGGACTCCCACAGAGTCACGCCATTTTACTGTAATTATTTAAAAGTTTTAAAAAGAAGTAGTAATATAATATATAAGAAGTAATTTTTAAAAAAAATACAAATTACTCAATCTTAACTGCCCTATATTCCACAATCCCTTTTCTTTATATTTTCTTATCTGTTTCTATACATTCGTCCCTCTTTGTTTTGATGTATTATGATTTGCAGAATATTTTGTTTATTATTATACAAAATCGACATACATTTATCTATTGATATTTTACTTTTCTAAAATGGGAGCAACTATGTAAGTATATCTTACTAATTGTTCCATACCGATTTATTTTATGCTTTCAAAAACAAACAAATTTTCGTCAAATCATAAAAATTACAAAATCAATTATTCTTCTCATATTTCTTTGTACATGGAATAATCCTAGAACTATAATGGAAATATTTATCAGACCTAAAATAGATTTTGGAGGGATACCTGAAGGCTTAACTGATTTGAATTTGATAGTAATTCTAACAATGTGTTGGTAGTGTTTTATCATGCTAATACTTTTTGTTTCTTTTATTTTAGATATTTTGTAGAAGTCTGTAAGGTCTGTTTGATGTAGAAATAAAGAAATGTAACCTTTTTTTTATGTTTGAAGTAAAAAAAAATTATGAAAATGTAAATAATGCTCTAAATTTTACACTTAATATGAAATGTTTTATTCTTTAAATTGATTCCTGTGTAATTCAAAATGCAAAACACATTTAAAGCCTTTAACAAAGTACATAAAGAGAGTGCTCTTAATTAAATATTTTTATTGCTATTATTTCATTTGAATTTATGTATTGAATGTTACAATAAAATTTTAGTAAAATAATTCCTGTAATTTTTTATTAGAATACATTATACCAATAATAAATATTTTAATTTTTTTAATAATAAACTGTTAATAAGTGTACTTAATTTATCAAAACCAAGCCTCCTGTATTTTAAAATCATTTTTTTTTTTAAAAATTGCAATTCGTAGAAGTAATATTTCCGTTGAAATTTACTATTAATGTATTATCAATTTACTCATTATATGGCAATAAATCTTTAAGAAATTGTTATATTAGCAGGTCAGTTTTTATGTATTTTTTTAATTTAATAAAAAATCAAAGTTAATTTGAGAGATCTAATGGTAGGATCTTATAAGTATTACTTTATGAGTCAAAGGTATTTCAAAAATTTTATATTTCAAGCATGAAATCCTCATTTCTTCTGAACTATTAGTTCAATGGATTCATTTAGATTTTATTGGATTTACGTAAAAATTAAATTTAGGCAATGCCTCTACTGCCTAGATAGCAATGTCAGTTACATAAACTGGTATAAACAATTATTTATTTACTTTGTACGTACGAAACTTTTAATAAATTTCAGAACTGATAAACTATTAATTCAGATAACTTAATTTTATTCTCATTCGATTTATCGTAATGATATCCATTGTTAACGATACCTCACTTGCCTGATAGTAATAATAGATGCATAAATAAATATAAGTAAAAAAACTGTACTTTTTATACATACATTTTAAGTAACTTCTAAAATATTAGTTACTTGATTCAACGTAAAAAAAAATCAATTATGAGTAATTAAGCAAACCTATCTGCAACGCCGAACCCCAAAATTGTCTCTGGAGTTAAAGATAGAATGGAGGTTATGCTTACGATTTTTATTTAAACCGTCCTTGAACAGCTGACCCAATTTTGGGTTTACAACTACTTATGTTCAATTTCGTAGCCTTGTAATTTTGAACTCAATCCAGAAGACATGGGAGCTCCTGAATCAAGTATTGGGAGAAATTTACCTTTGTGCATTACTTTTCGATGGAAACCCGCATTTGCGTTAAATGGGGAGAAAAACATCGAAAACCACTCTAGGTTAGCCTGTCGGCAATGTGACTCAAAGCCATTATCCGTTTACCAATAAGGATATTTTACGTCAGCACTATGGTCGATGCAATCCGGGTGCGGAATTTGTATCGACCAGCCATCTCTGGAATTCGAACCCGGCTCACCTCATGAGAAGGCAAACGCTCTATCCCCTTAGCCACCACAGCTCACTCTAACGATTGCTCATATTTTTCTCTCGTGTGATATCCGTATAACATGAGGCTCGCAGATGTACAATGCACAAAATAAAAAACGGACCACCCTGAATAATTTTTGAACTTATAATCGGATCTTCACGTTCAATGTCTCGATTTCAATGGTTCGAGGAGGGGGTGACCTCATCTATATGTTCTATTTGTTCGTCTTGTGAAGTGTATATCGCCTGCACTAATTAACATTAGTGCAGACGATATTCTAAGTTACGAAATCATGCCCAAAACGCACTTTCTCTGAACAAACATACCTTTTTTTCCCCCAACGGATTCGGATTTCTGACCTCCAAAATTTAGGGGGTAGATGCAATTTAAGAAATATGGTTCCCAAACTTTTGTCAGGAGTAGTGGTCCAAAATTTGGACTACTTAATGATAATTTCATTTTTTGCGCAATATCTCAAGAACTTTCATAAAATTCGTGTATTCAAAAATAATTCTAAGCAAATTATAACATTTAGTAAATATTTGTTATTTTTTATTATTTTACTTAATAACAGTTGAAAGAAGTTTGAATTGTATGGCATAGTTATTTAACATCATTTTAAAGGATGTAATTTTACATGGTTAAATATATAATTTGAACAAAATAGGTCGAATAGTTGCTGCGAAATCAAATTTTAAAAATACAGGTTTTTTTTAAATTCCATTTCTTAGAAACTATTCGACCGATTTTGCTCAAATTTTTAATTTTGTCATGCAAAATTACACCCTTAAAAATGATGCATTATAGATAAACGAATTTTATAATTGTTTGCAATTTTTTTTAATTCGCTTAAAAAGTTCTCGAGCTATACTCTCTACTGCCCAATCTATAGCGACCATATTTCACAGACTGCGGCTATCCCCTATATTTTGAGGGTCAGAAATCCGAATCTAACGAAGAAAATAAATGTTTATTCAGAGAAGGTAAGTTTTTGTGACTGACTCTGCAAATTAAGATATCGTCTGCGCTAATTAATTAGCATGTTTAAGGTCACCCCCTCAAACCATTTAAACTGAGTCCTAGAACGTGAAGATCCGATCATTAGATCAAAAGTTATTCTGTGTTGTCCGTTTTTTAATTTGCGCTTTGTACATGTTATGCATGTTATAAATAAAGGGACACAACACCTTATAAGATTTCAATTTTTCACTCAATATTTGTGTATTTAAATTTACAATTTTAGAAAAAATAGAGAGTGATTTTTTTGCGTCTGAATTCTAAAAGAAAAAAAAAATTCGCTATTTCAATCGATCTTTATTATTTCTTTGATTAAAACTGTTACCAAATTCATCCCTTACCTCATCCATTCATATATCATTCATCGCTATTACGATATCCGATACAACAATAACTCCCTCTATTACCTCTATTACAATAATGTTTCACAAGTCCCGACCAACTTGCATATGAATAATATTATCCTCTTCTCAATAATTATATATATATATAAATANTATCTTGTTAAACTTGCCTACGTGCCATTTTAATTGTTGTACTATCTGTAAAGATTCAATGTAATTTCAGAGATTCTGAAGTAAACATTATTTCTCTAAAAAGTATAAAAGTTTGATTTCGGGAAACTTATCAAATTTATACGACATATGAGGCGAAAGTAAGTAAAAATGTTAATAATAAAAAAAAGGATTAATCTTTTGTTGGCAATCTTTTTCTTGAGAACACTCCTGATGTGGAATAATTCTTATCAGCAGTATAAATAACAATTCAAAAACTTTGTCTTATATAATTCATACCTTTAGTTTGTATGACATAAAAATTATTGAGTCTTATTTTAATTTTCATAAATTGAATTTAGAGGTGAAAAAATAAGCATGAAATTTTACTTGATCTGTGCAGGCTTTATTCTTTGTTTTCGGTAATGTACCATTTTATGAATTTCATTTTGAGTTATGTTTGTGACATTAATAGACAAAAAAGTTTTAATCTAATATATTTAAATATTGTCATCTAATATTTTAAATGTCGACTGGCACCGACCACAGTACTGACGCAAAATATTCTCAGTGGTAGACGGATCATGGGTTAGAGTCCCGTTGCCGTCAAGCTAATCGTGGGAGGTGGTCATGGTTTTCCTCTCCACGTAACTCAAATGCGGGTTAGTTCCATCAAAAAGTCCTCCACGAAAGCAAATTTCTCCCAATACTTGATCCATGAGTTTCTTTGTCTTCTGGATTGGATTCAAAATTACAAAGCTACGGTGTTGAATGTTGGTAGTAGTAACCCTAAATTGGGTCGGCTGTTCAATTTGTGTTGTAAAATATCTTTTTATCATGAAAATACCACGGTTGACATGAAAAATGCGGTTTATTGCTAATATGCCAAGAGTAATTTAAATTTTTTTAATTATTTGCTGAATTTTTATAATTATTATTATTTTATATTGATGAGAGTCCTGCATTTAACGCTCGAGCTAACGCTCGAACAAACTGGCTGTATTTTAGTACATTTCAAACCTCAATACAGAACTTAATCATCAACTATCTAAATCTCCTTACCACTTCTCTCATACAAATAAATTTTACGTCACTGCAAAACTATGCAGAGAATGTTTTTGTATAAAAAGGTATAGCAAATTATTCATTTCATTGCGTAAAATTTTATGAATAGTTTATTTAACTCATAACCGCACTCCTTCAATTCGACTATTCGTTCTCAGAAATACATAGTGTTTTACATTGTTTATGACTGCAGTATGAAATTGAGCGTCAGTTACATGCTCAGGAGTGAAAATTATCACATTTAGTCACAGTTTTTTCTAATTATCTTTTTTTTCCAATGTACAGAGTGATTATTAAATTAAATTGTACTGTTAAATTATCACGGATTTACATGAAAAATTGCATTACTCTAAAGTGTCGAAATTCATTCAACCTTCTATTTATTCACCAAACTTTTTATAATTATTATTATCTTACTGATGAAAGTTCAACATTTTGTAAAAGAAAAAAAAAGTGGCTGCATATATCTACGTTTGAACAAATGGGCTGTATTATGTTCTAAAACCCGATACAGAACTTGAGGATAACAGAGATGCCATCTTGCTCCGAACATAGGATAAATATTTTCGAGTGGTAGTCTTTCAATATACAATTCTTGGTTTAGTAAATTTGATTTATAGGTTTTGGTTTAGTAAATTTGATTTTACTCGCAATTACTTCTAAATAATTCAAAGGCTTATGTAAAATGCCACTTTGTTACTGTTAAACCGTGTTGAGCCCCATAGTTGACAAAATTGACCGAAAATCTACAGATTTTAATTTGCAGTTCTCTTCCATTTTGCAAAATATTTTGTTGAATTCCGGGCAGTTGGCATCTCTGTCCAAATGTCCTAACACTTTTTTTTATAAAAGTTATTTTACATTAATATAAAACAGCGAGTTTTCGTCGCCTTTGCAGGGAATATTTTAAAAAAAAAAGGCTGGGGGAGTGAATTAGTAAATCATTTTAGTACGTAAAAATCAATGTATACTTTATTTTACGTATTGCGAATACAAATTTAATTTGATTATCGTACTCAGAAAGACATTTTGTTTCCCATTGCTTATGACTGCCATATGAAATTGAACGTCAGTTTTATATTTGGAATTTATCTCATTTTGTCGCAATTTTTCTATGAAAACTCTCGACAGCAATAACCACAATTTGCTCACCACGATATTTTTTTTCGCTTCCCAAACAAACAAAAAACAATTGATATGTTACCGCGCGTTTTTTTTTTTAATTTTATCTAACGGCTGATTATAAAATTACTTTGCCGGCATATGACCCTCTGGAACCCATGCCATTTGAATGAACGGAATAAAATTTCATAGGAATTGTGATTCATGTGCTCAAGAAAGGTCTTATAAACGATTGTGTAGCACAAGCAGTTACAGTTAAAGTAACAAAATTTCAAAATTTTTCAACACCCAATTTTTTTGATCAAAGCGTAATCCTTAGAATAAAAAATAAAAATTGGAGTTGAAACGATGATTTTAGGAGAAAAATTCGAGACGCTACGCTTTTGCCAAGCTGCGCTTTTTATCCTAACAAATAACGAGATGAGAGAAGAAAAAAAAACTTTAAAAAAATTACAAGAAAGCATTTAATGTTTTAAAAAATGTTTACATGCCCGTCCTCACATGTTCACTGTTTCTTTTCTCTTTTCTTTATTGGTCACGAAAAATGGCAGTGCTGGACAAAAGTCTATCGCAAAAATTTCTTGCGTAAAAAACATCGTTTCAGTTCGAATTCAGGTTTTTTTTACTTTAAAATTATGTATAATCATAAATTTAGATATAATGGAATTTAGTTTTCTTTAATTAAGCATTAAATAGAAATTTTTATAAGAATTTTAAGATTTAAAAATTTTTTTGTTAAAGTAAAACAAAGTCTAAGATATCTGTACTAGCTCAAGTTTAAAAGATATATTATTAATTTAATATATTTTAAATTATTTATCTATTATCTAACATTCACTAATGAAAAGCACACTGTAATAAAATTGATTACTGAAAAATACCCAACAGGTTAGTGGAGAACAAAATGGAAAGAAATAAAATATTTGATAAAAAATACCAATAAAAAGTTTATTAAATGATAAAAATATTAACCTTTTTTTTTCATTCAGGGATCAAAATTTCTATGAACGGGTTTAATGATATTTTAATGATACTATTTTAATGATAACATTATCATTAAAATATCAGTGATTAACAGAAAGCATTATACAACGTTGGCTTTATTCAAATTTTTTTCAGTAATTTCGGTATTTATGATAGTGTATTTGTAATTATACAAAAAATTAACGTTTGGTAGTCAACAGTAAGCATGTTGCAATTTTATTAAAAAGATATTTGTTTTAATGGACGCTGGGATTTCAAAAATAAATTCCCAAAAGAAACGCCATTCCCGAATTTTTAATAAATAAATAAAATGGTCCAGTTCAAACAACAAACAAATCTGGTACAAATTAAAAGGATTTTGTGTTTCTCTAAAACCACAGGTTGAAATGTTTCTAAATAAAGCGTGAAGTTCACACACCTCTTCCTTTTGACTTTCGATGAGTTCCTATACATCACTGTCAAGCAGCTCATCCCCTCCCAATCACTACTACCCATTCACCCTTCAGTGGTCTAAAGAGGTCTGAGACGGTCGTTAAGTAGTCCGGACTTCTTCAGACCTCTTGGTCTTTAAAGAGTTAAGGATGACACTTCGAACAAAAAAGTGGGTGTTGCCGTTTAAAAATTTCTAAATTTTGTCACTGTAACTGTAACCGGGAGAGTTAAGCAATAGTTTATAACATTATTTTTTAGCGCATAGATCATAATACCTTTGTACGTAATTTTATTTTATTTACTCAATTAGTATGATGTCCAGAAGGTGATATCTCAACAAAGTTATTTTATAACCATTTCGTATTATTCAATAAAAAAATGCATTAGATCATTTCGTACTCTGATGTTTCTTTATTAATTATTAAAATATACAGGACCAGGGTGTCTACCGGCCATAAAAAATTTTGTGACCTTTATTTCAAATTCGATAGTTTTATAATATATTTTTAGTTTACTATCACTTAAGATACAATTTCTCTAACCGATCTTATATTGAGGGACAGGAAAAATAACTGATTTAAAAAAATAATAATAATCAACAGATCCTCTGAAAGAGATTTTTAATTGAGACAGTAGACACTCTGAGAGTGGATATAGCCTAAACATCTTCAAAAATCAATTGACTATAGCCATCATGTGCAACAATGTATAATACTGTATAATATTCATGTGCAACAATGTATAAGACTATTTCAATTTCTAATTTAGGTCAACCAGAGCTGAAACCTGCCTATGTGTTACCTACCTCATTTCCGAAAATGGACTTTTAAAAGAAAACAGAATGGCTTATATAGCACAAATCCTCGGGGATACCAGATGCGATGGGGATCATATCGTGAAGTGTAAAGATTTATGCATTCAAGTGGTAACATAAATCTTATCATCCTCGTGTGTACTCTCTAAAAATTAGTGCTGTTCCTTCTTGCAAAAAATATGTTTAATTAACAGGGAATTTAATTCAGGACAAATTATTTTTTCTCCTTATTTTTATCCTATTTGAACTACAAAAAAATCATATTTTACTTAATTCAATTACGTAAAGCCACCAGGAAAGGCAACAAATAATAATAAATAAAAACATGCAAATTACTGTATCTTCATTAATTGAAGAGTTAGTGGAAAAACCAGGTAAGTGAAATTTTTAGACAGCCTTTAATCGGGATACGGAAAAAAAATTATATTACTTTTTTATTACTATATAACTAACTATTAATTAGCCGAATTATGTTATGACCGATATATTAGAAGGCGAGACTAATAATTCTTCGCCTTATTTTATTATCCTCTGCCTAATTTGAAATAAAAAATCATGCAAACACATTCAAAACTAACGTGATTAGTCATGTTATTATTAAAGCGACAGCAAAAACAATTTTGTTACAGTGGAAATACCGATATTGATGCGATCGCTTTTTGTTATTTTCTCGGCTTCATAAATACCTCTAAAGATGTCGCCTAGTTATTCCATTAAGCTCTTCGAAAGAATTATGTCTAATTTTAAAAAATTCACGTTTCTTAAACTTTCCAAGCTCAAAAAGTCATTGTTTTCCCAACAACGTTCTTCCTTCAAGATTTTGTGGATTTTTTTCTGACAGTTTGAACTCTATAAACTTTGAACTTTATGGCAATTCTGGAAAAAAAACTGACTAAATTCGTGGTTTAAGTGCGAGAAATTGGCATATCAGTTTAGGAATAGTTTGTTGTTTGTTTCTTTAATTTATTTATTTTTTCAACAATCTGACAGCTCCCGTGTTAAAATGTGCAGTTTTCTAAAAATAAAAAAAAAGTGCCGAATGCTACGAAAACATACATTTTGCTTCTTCTTCTTCTTTTATTTTTTAATTTTATTTTTTTTACTATGGGGAGTACAAATTAGATAAGATGGCTCAGGCTGTTATGAATGTTTCATAGTGACAGCTGGTTTCGGTGGTTTCAGAGAGGTTAGACATCTGTTAATAATATTCAGTTTATATCTCTTTGAGTTTCATACAAAAGCCATGTTTTTTACTTTGTTGAATATGTCAAATTTTGTGGTAACGAAGCAGTATTTGGGGGAGGTTCTGTGTTTCAGCTTTAATTGGAAGAAAAGTGCAGCTGAAGAGCATCAAATGCTTGTAGAAGTTTATGGGGACAATGCTCCGACTGATAAATCATGTAGANGTTGAATACGTCAAATTTTGTGGTAACGAAGCAGCATTTGGGGGAGGTTTTGTGTTTCAGCTTTAATTGGAAGAAAAGTGCAGCTGAAGAGCATCGAATGCTTGTAGAAGTTTATGGGGACAATGCTCCGACTGATAAATCATGTAGAGAATGGTTTCGACGTTTCAAGAATGGTGAGTGGAGTGGTATACTATGAACTGCTCCAACCAGGCGATTCCATTACGGGCGATCGATATAGGCTACAACTGATTCGTTTGAGCCGTGCATTACTAGAAAAACGGCCGGAATACGAGCAAAGGCATGACAAAGATATTATTCTGCATGATAACGGTCGGCCTCATGTCGCAAAAGTTGTGAAATATTATTTGGAAACGCTCAAGTGGGATGTTTAACCGCACCCGCCATATTCGCCGGACATTGCTCCTTCTCATTACTGGTTGTTCCGACGGATGCAGCACGATTTGGTAGGTCACCGGTTTACTTCTTTCTCAGAAATCGAAAATTGGCTTCTAACTTGGATCGCCTCAAAAGACGAGACATTTTTTCGAGATGGAATTCGAAAATTGCCTGAAAGGTGGGAAAAAGTAGTGGCCAGCAATGGACAATACTTTGATTAATCTGTTCATTCATTTTGTTCTGAAATAAATGTATTTTTGACCGCAAGAAAACGGACCGAACTAATCTGTACTCCCAATATTATTTTTTATTCATTAATTTTTATTTAATTTTCTTTCTTTTTTTTTTTTTTTTTAAATAATATTTTTCTACAATCTCATTAACATCAAATATTTTAGCTGCTCTAAACAATAAGAATCCTACATCCCCCAATATGTAATACTTCTCAACCAAGGATCAAGGATTAAAAAAACGTAATTTAAGTGCTGTTTAAAATAATAAATGAAGTTTTTTTTAAACACAGAATACCAATACCAGGGCTTTTAGTATCTGGAAAACAGAAAAAAATTTATGCTAAATATTTTTCATTTCTACCTTGGTTTTCAGAAAAAGTGAAATATCCGTGACTAAGACTACTCATTATTAAAAGTTGTAGCATAAATGCTGAACTATTTCTTACCCGAGAAAAAAAAAATATTGCTGGAGAGTTTATAAACTACCCCAGGCTCGCAAAATGCACATTCTTTAATGCATTCCTTGCACATCCTTGACTGTTAACATATCAAAAAGTTAGTTTCATGAGTATCAAGCATAATAATTAGTATTAAATTCGATATTATTGCCACTGTTGATAAATTTTATAGCTGTAATAAAAATATGAACAAAAGTAAAAATAGTATATATTAGCTAAATTGTAAAAATAAAAAGTCATGATGCATTGTTAGATATTGACATTTCTTTACAATACATCGTGATATTAAAGTTACTTATCGGTTTCTAGCGCCGATGTTCCCATTAGCGACAACTCGGAAAACTAGTCATCAATACCAGTGTTCCCCTTTAAACCAGTGTTCCCCAACCTTTTTATCACCGCGAACCTGTCAACGTTTGATAATTTTACCGCGGCCCGCTGGGTANGGGGGGGGGGACGTTGATTGCTTATATTTTAGCTTATTTTGATTTAATAACGATAGAGAGAAGACGAAGTTCTTCATCAGTTCCGATGTAAATTTCGCGCCTTGCTTTCGTGTTTTATTTTTGATATTTACAGTTATGATGATTGATATTTTTAATTAAAACTAATTGAAAGAGAAAATAAAGGGTTATTCATAATTCCTTCCGGGGTATCGAAGCGTTATAGTAAGAAAACGATGACGAATATGACAAAAAAGAACATATGAAATTATTCCGAAAAGTATTCAAGTTTTAATTTAAGCATTTGCCGGTAGATGGCAGTAACATGTACCACTAAAGTAGTGGTAGTAAAGAAAAATGGCGTTAACCCCGGAGGGAATTATGAATAACCCTGTAGTTGCGGTGATTTTCTTTCTTTCGTTTTTTTTCTTTTTTCTTTCAAAACATTAAAAAATTTATGTCACTATCTTCGGGGTCCTTTTTTTCAAATAAATAAAATTTTGATGGGACACATATTTTTAATTTGGGGTATAAACCTAGAAATTTAAATTCAGTTTCAATGAAATGGGCGGCCCGGCACCATTTCATTCACGGACCGGGGGATGGGGAACTCTGCTTTAAACCAATGAGTACCACTTTCACGTTTTCAAATAAATGTGGACCATTTTGTTTCCTCTATATTTTTTTTCACCAGTTTTGAAATTTTTCAAAAATATGGTTATCTTTACATATAATATCACCTTTACTCCTGCAGGTCGATATATGGACGAACGGATACACAACATGCAGCAAATTTCCGTCGGGTCTTTTAGTTGGAGATTGGATGTGTCAAGCACTCAACAGGAATGTATGTGATGAAAGAGTTGGTCTCTTTGCGGAGAGCTGTGGCAGTGATCTCCTCGACACAGGTATCCGGTTTAAGGAAAGATTATGCTGTAAATCAGGAAAAAGCAAGCATTGTTGAGAAACTCGTAGCTTTTTGCATTTGAATAAACTGTTGCTCAAGCGTTCATGGTGTACGTCTATAATGAGTTGTCTAAAATGATTTTGAGTTATCAACTTTTTTGAAATGTGTTCAGTCTATTTTGTTTGATTGTATCTAATTCTCTAAAAAAGATATTAATAAACAATTTCATATATTTTTTAAAAATAAAATTCTTTTTTTAATTTTATAGAAGGACATATAAATCTAGAGTACTGTCTCAACCATAAGCGTAGCATGAAAGAAGTTTTTTAAGAGGCACGCATTTTTTTCCCCTCTTTCTTCCTTTATTATTTTACTTATTTATTATTTAGGATATAATGTTATTAAAATTAAAATTCTAAAAGAAAACTTATAAATGTCTTTAAACTTATGAGTAATTTTCTATATTTAACAGAGGTCTAAACTATTACATTGACATTAATTAAAAACTTTCGTGAAATATGCCGGATTCTGTAATTTCTTCATGCTAAAAGCATATTGTGAAACCAGACTCTGGTTACCAGAGCCAATGTGAATTTGAATGTTTTATTTTCTAGAAATTAAAAAAAAAAGTCATGGTAAAAATTCTCATCGATAACCATGTTTGTCCAAGGTTAAGATTAATGTACAGTGCGAAAAAAAGAGCCACCCAGAATTACGCTTGATCTAATGATCATATTTTCGTGCTCTAGCTCTCAATCTTAATGGTTTGAGGGGGCCACCTCAAATATGCTAATTAATTAGTGCAAACGATATTTAAGTCGCGAAATCCAATTTAAAAACGTATTTCCCAGAATGAACATACTTTTTTAGATGGATTGGGATTTCTGACCCCCAAAATCTAGGGGGTAGCCACAATCGGGAAAATATGATCCCTATGATTTGGCCAGAAGAGCGATATGAAGTTTGGATCCCTTAATGTTAATTTTACCTTTTGTATGTTTAGATTGAGTCCTAGGACGTTAAAATCCGATCATTATATCAAAAGTTATTCAAGGTGGTCAGTTTATTTTCTGCCCCACATTTCTATTTCAAGAGAGGATTACATAAAAATTAGAATTTTCTCGGTGTCTAAGCGTATTTTTATGTAATAATTATACAGAATTTTTAACAAATTATTTTTTTTTTAAAGTTTTTTAATCCTAGATATTTCTTATATTTACTTTTTTAAGTAAATATTAGAAAATTGTTTCTTATAAGAATTACGTTCCATTTTAATTTTTAATTATATAGTTAACATGGAAAATAGTATAAAATCCAAAAAAAATCTGTATTGTATTTTTAAAAAGTAATTATACAGAATTTTTGAAAAATTAATTTTAAGTTTTTTATTCCTAGATATTTCTTATTTTTACTTTTTTATGTAAATATTAGAAAATTGTTCTTATGAGAATTATGCTTCATTTCTCATACACACAATCATACATTTCAAAACATACAGTTATCATAGAAAAATAGTATAAAATCCAAAACAATCTGTATTGTATTTTTAAACAATAACTAGACAGAATGTTTGATATTGAAATGGAACTTTTTGATTAAAAATTACAAAAATATTAAACATAAGTATTCTATAAAATTAAGCCTAGAAATTAACACTTCTAGCAGATCAGCAAATCAGAGCATAAATTCAGAATTCTAAACAAGGTGGAAGTTGTTTAATGCTGTAAGAAAAAAATACTTTAAAATAATACTAAAAACTTTCGACGGTTAAAAAAGTAAGTAGTATTTAAAAAGTATTACACAAAGTTTATAGAAAATTAGTGCAATTTAAAAAATTTCATCAAGCATAAATTAAACTAAATAAGCGGCAACCACTATTATATGTTGAAATAATAAAGTAAAAATCGAAATAATTTTTAAAAAGTCATTAAATGATTTTAAGATATCATTAACGTATAAGTGATAAACATAAAATTATTTTGTTAAATTTTAGATAAATTATCTAAAAATTTAAATTTGTATTAAATTAAAAATTGTTTTTCAGTGATTTTTTTTAAAAGTAAGAATTTAGAAAAATTCTGAAGTTTTTAAAAATTATTTAGAGACCCTGCACCTATGATCTCAGCAGCCAGTAATCAGTCAATCAGGTCATAAATGTTAAAGCTCTAGAAGTTTGAGACCAAAGACAACAAAGTGCCCATTGAGTTAGCATTACCCACCAAATAACTTGTATATTGGTTATTGCAATTACATAAATTTTCAGGTTTGTGTGCTCAAAATAGGCTTATAAACCTTCGTCAAGTAGAAAAGGACAGATAGCACAATAGGAGAGACAGCACCAAGTAGTACCGCCCGAATTCAACTTGTATATTGAAATGCTCGTTGCTTATAAATGTTCCCAAAAAATACCGACAACTTGAAAAATCAATCAAAGAAAAACGGAAATGATAAAAAAAAAATATATATATATACTTTTTGTTAAGTTCAACTTAGGAATCCAGTTATATATTCCCATCATATTTTAAAATCAGTTACAATGTTCTTCAAACGACAGTACTACTGACTTGAAATACTGCAAAATAATAATATTGTTTGGTTACATATCAGACTATCCAAATTAAATATTTCAAATGAACATTTTACATACTTTATTCATTCAAAACAAATTTGAAGAGTTCAAAAAATATAGAGTTGGAGTTCCTTAAATATTAAATCATAAGACCTCAGACGATTTCAACATACAAAGGAAAGCCACAAACGTCGCCACTTTCTTTCATATTGATGCTTAGCTCTTTTTACAGGATACATAAAATGCACACTAGCTAAAAATGAGCTGACATTGACCTAAACTTGAATTATCAAATAAAAATTTTCAAATGTAAACACATTTAGCGTTTCTCCGCCCTAATTTACATAAATTTCCACACTAAAAAAATAAAAAAATTAACATTACTTGCTGTTACAGAGATGAAGTATTGTGTCCTCTTCTGGTAGTATGCATCAGGAGCATAGATATCTATGATATATATCTATGATATAAAGGCAGAAAGATCAATCACTCGACCAAACGGACGTCACGGTGAACGTTGACATCACTGGTCTAGTAACTAGTTTGTACTCTATATCCACGCCCTCTAGTGAACTACGGTGCTTGTTTATTGCAGCTGTACATAATTTGTTCTTTTTTTATTTGATTTTTATAAGTTGTAATGATTAATAATAATTGATAACATTCAGTCTCTTTGCCAGAAAAATCTGAAATTCGCAAATTTTATGACACATTTTTTTTCCAGATTTTTTTNAAAAAAAAAAAAAAAAAAAAAAAAAAAAAAAAAAAAAAAAAAAAAAAAAAAAAAAAACTAATCTGTTTTTAAAATTTAATTCTTTATATCACTCTGAAATTCAAATATTTGAAATAAAATAAAACACACAATTTATGTACTTGCAAAAAATAAATAAATAAATAAAATAAAGAACATTTTAGTAAACATTCCAAGCTAGCCTATTAGCGTACAATTAGTTTGCTAGTAAAGCGTTTTGTTGGTTTTCATTTTTGTGTAATGGAAATTCTAATTATTTTCATTCAAAAAGTTCTTCAAAGTACGATTTTACTCCTCTATTTCAATAACAAGGTACTTTGATATCTGGGTCGTGTTAAAAGTTAAAAATATAAGAAAAGTATTTCACAACATCCACTAAGATGAGAAATTGTCTGTCAAGGATGATAAAAAAATTAATGGTTAAAAAAATAATTCATTGCGATAATGAACATACAGCTGTATTGTTATTATTGTTCAGTTATCTAAAAGACTTTTTCGTGGTTTTCCTTTGCATTTAACGCAAC